CGAATATTACAACTTCATGTATGTGCATATCCCGAGAGACTGCCCGCCCAAACAGTGATTTCCTGTCGGCATTTGATTAGGTCCACCGTAATAGAGTAAATACTCACCTAAAAGGCCCCCGTTGGACATCAAGGCCAAGGTTGTTTACTTCCGTGGCTTCAATGCCTTGATAATATGGTTTACTCCTTGAATGGCAAAACACATGGCCGTCAAAGTGGGATTAGTACAATTCGCATTTGGAATTACGTTGAGACCCCCAACGTAGATATCCCTGTGGCCATGGACCACCGAGTCTTTTGTACAACACGACTCCTTCTTGTCTTTGCCTGCTCGAGTGGTGCCGCATAAATGCAGAGCCAGGCCGGGCTTGAGGAACTGTGGTTCCGAACCGGGAAGATATCCCCCGAGCTTGGCGGCCACCGTTTCCATATCTTTCATCATCTCATGGGATATCTTCTTGTCTGCTTCTGAGATCTTGTATCTAAACGTTGGCTGGGGCATGGAGTAGCCGTCTAGGATTTTGTCATCAAACGTCACATAGTTGTCCCGGATTGGCTCCACCTTGCCAAAATACCGAAGATCAATTACAGTGCGTTTATCGATAGCCGGGGGAGCAGCGCCGTAGGAAAACGCATCCCGATGGATCTGTGTATGCCATTTGTGGTCTCTATCCACAACCAGGGTCACCTGGGGATCAAGATCACGGAATGGGAACGGTAAAGGGTCCTTGGGGAACTTTCTGTGATGCTCTTGGACCTTTTCTTTCCATCCCGGGATCTTCCATCGGTCCGTTTCCACAGCCCTCTATCCATTCCTCTTTGAACACGATTTGACAGAAGCACATTGTTTGTTCCGTCAAGTAACGCCCCTTTTGCAATGTCAAAAGTACGATAGAAAAGAATGCTTGATTTCCATTGAACTCACCAGCGCTGGTAGGTAATGGGGATTCTGAGAATCCCCAAACCCGGAGGCGTAGAGTAGCTGGGGCGTCAAAATTGGCCCGCCACAGATGACATATTTCTTAGCTTTTACCTTGACATATTCATCCACTTCGAGATCCTTCACGATTGCTCCATTGACAACTACACCGTCCTTGGAGTCTTCTATTTCAAGCTTTTTACACAACCATTCTGACTTTAGCTGAAAATAGTTGCTTCCCTCTTGGCCAGGAGCTTTTGTGATACCCCCGAAAATAGTGGAGGAAGAGGACCATGTAATAAGTTCCGGTTTTTCTCATTCAATTTTGCTGCAATAGGGAGTGGCACAGAGAGGCGATCTGGCAGCTCAAGGCTTAAAATTTTGAGGACCAATTGCTGGCGGATGGAATCATCCAGCACTGTGGTACTGCGTCCGATGAGTTTCTCAGCCTCAGTGTAGAGAGAATCTAACTCTTCAGCGGTAAATATATCCATCGGCTCGACTTCATTATTCTGTCTTGGAACTGCACAAGTCCAGCTGCCCGAATTGCACAACTTAGCCCAACTCCACGAGATCTCAAAGGGTTTCATATAAACTCACTGGGTTGACATTCCTCCTACATTACGCGAAACTGCGTTCGCATCGATATTCTCTGCTGGATTTTGATTAGGATTCTGTCCGTTAAGTATTGGCTTATCTCTATTCTCAGAGTCAACAAGAACCCGCGCCCCTACATAAGAATTCCTACTTACGAATACCAGCAGATCGGAGGCAATGTGCGGCTCAAGTTGACATTTATCGGGACGGACGTTGGCTGCAGGCTCCCCTAGAAGCACCGTTAACTACACGTCCGACCGAGACTTTAACTGTGGTGCGAGAACTGTCTTTACTTTGATAACACTGGGAATTTCCAGATTAGTTATCCCACAATAGTTATTGCGGTATCATGGTAATTACTTACTTGACGAACAAGTCAATATCCTTTTGATAGTAGACAGCATTCTTTTTGTGCTCTCCAGGCACTGCAGCCTCCCTTATTTCAGCAGTGGTTAGAATAGAATGGGTTTAACATATGCATGGCATTTTTACTGTCTGCCCATGTCTACCATGAGTACATGGATATCATTATCGACAAGCTTCTTAGCATAGGTGGCCCCTACTGGGCCAGATCCCACAACTAGCTCTCGTCAGCACCTGTTAACTACATTTGTTCTACAAGCCAAAGGTCCAACTTACTAAAAACATCAGTATCAACTTGCCTCATAGTCGCAAAGTCAACAAAACAGATTGATTCAACCAGTAGTAACAAATTGGTCAATAGAATGATATCCGTAGGGTCTCTCTGGGAATAAAAGTCTGGGGAAGCTCTGATATATCTTCTGGTCAAAGGGCTATCCAGCACCGGCCAACTATCATGGCATCACAGGTGATACGCAATATCGTTGGACATTTAGAGCAATTTATGATATCTCCGAAACTCATTCCCAGTTCTAGTTGAAGTTTTCCATTTGAACCGAGAAGGTAAAAACGGTAAGCCATATTTGAGATCGAGCTGTTTCTGGTTGACTTTCCATCTTGCTATTCGTATCAGAAGCGACAAAGTGACTGCATTACCGCAAATATGGACTGATGAAATCCAGATAGGACAGGGTAGAATGCCAAATCATTCATTCGTGTAATACGAGATATGCCCGCTAAAAAAGGTATCACAGGTGACGAGAGTAAGAAGCAGTGTCCAGCAGCAGGCTTTTCGTTTACCACCACCGCCTCTCCTCCAGGTGCATATTGCTATCATGGCCGTTGGAGGCGTGCATGCTATCTGCTTAGTCACATAAGATCCTTGGTTGTGCATGTTCAACATCGAGATGGCAAATGGTGACAGGTCTCACAAACAACGTCTAGACGACAACGGAGTTGAGATCGGAATTCGCATCTAGAAGTGTCTTTCGAGGTCAAAGCCCTACTACCCCCACGCATCTCAGCGATAGCCATCTACCAAGATGTTTCATGTCTTTGTAGGGTTAATCTCATATCCTTGCATGGACCACCAGCTCCTCGTTCTTCCTTGCCTAGCGAGAGGTCATCTCCGCATTTTTTGCGATTGCTGCGATTTGAACAGGGATATGGCATGCTTCAGAACGGGCCTGATCGGCTCTCAGCGGTCGGGTGTGAAGAACAAGTCCCTGGGCCTGAGTCGGCAGATTTGCCAGACTCGCTTCGGCTTCATGGTGTCTGCTATTGAGGAAAGCATCATTATCTAACACGTTTGCAGACGAAATATTTCATCAAATTCCTTCAGGTTTACGCGCTGAGCGAAGATGCATAGAGGTAGGTTGCCTTTTATTCTCGGGGCTTATCAGTACAAACTGATGTCTTGTATCACTGAAGGAAGGAGGAGCAGCTACTATCCGGTTTGAGATCCTTCGCTCAATGGAGATAATTTCCTTGGACATCGTGGATTGATTCGATTTGTCTCAATCCATGGACTTCATTTGCCGCTGCAAGGCATATTGCCGATTGATGTGTGCTTAAGAGCTTACCCGCGGGGAAAAGGTCGTCCGGTTGCTCGAGCCAGGATAACTGGTTATCAGTGTGACATCGATGAGGAACCGACCATGTCAAATGGCGAGGACAGGCCAATTCTCTCGTTATTTCCTCTCAACGACCAAGCAACGTGGCTCAATGGTTTTCTTCTGCCTGAAACTGTTGAAAGAACCTGCCCGAATTCCCGACAACTTCTTGAATGATGGTTTCGAATGTTGATGTGATGCCGTGTTCTACCCAATGAATCACAAACGCTCTTGGGCTACCTTAAAAGCAGCGAAGAAAGCAGGCATTGTCAGAAGGATGCTGAATCCATGAACCTGTTGTCTATGTTGTCACAACAACCTGGCCGTGGTTTTCAATCCTCCATCGCTTTTCCACGGAAAACCCATGAGAGCTCTGGGTTGCTCCCAAAATGCTGGGGCCAGCCTTCTAAATTCGCTGGACTGGATTGAACTAGCCAGGAAGTTGACGCCTCGATCAGATTGAAGTTATACCATACGATTTTAAAACTTTACATCACATATGAATGCTCAAGCATGGGAGAGAAGACTCTGCTGGCAACTTACTCCTCGACCTGTGTGGTTCCAGTGCCATTGCCATGAGCCTCTGTGTAATCACAAATTGAAACTCCGTACACGTCTTCACATCTTAGGCTCGCCTGAGAGAAGTAGTGCGGAGGATCGTCGATTGAGAAGAACTTTGCAGTGGAGAAAGCCAAATTGAATATCTTTTGTTCTAGATCATTCTGGACATGCCCCTGGAACGGGTTGTTTCAAAGAGGGCACACAAGGCTTAGTGTGAGGGATGTTTCTGTTAACCGAATGCAAAAAAAAAGGATGTCCACAAGCGAAGGAGCCCTGGGGCTGATGGGGAGGTCTTGTTCACAAGAAAGCATGCATCCTGGTTTCACCCCAACTCCTAGCCGAGCTGTCATCAGGGAACTAGCCTCACAAAGATCATTTCTTTCTGGCTCAACATGATCATAGTGAAGAAACCACATTTCCATCGACACGTGTGTTCAGAATACCCACCGAACAAGCGTTGAGAATCATTTGAATACGAAGCACTCCTCCATACAGGCGAACATCCTGTAGTCGACCCCGCAGCCTTAACTGCATCGTGCCTCCACGCGTCTGTTTCGAAACCCGTTAGTTCATGCGCTTGAAAGACATGGTGTGACGGCCATGCAGGCGGGCGCGTGGAGGATGCAAGCGGCGTTTCGCGAAGGAAGAACGTGTGATGGCAAGAATCAACCGCCATTGGACGGCCGGTTCGGCCCACCCCGCTTGTTTCGGATTTGGCTTCGGCCCGAGGACTGGAGGCGCAGACTCACTAGATGGATGTGAGCGCTGGGAGAAGAAAAGAATGATGAGCTGGTGTTTCGTGTTTACGATGGTGAACGACAGGCCTTGGATGCAGCAATGGTCAATATAATGGCCTCAATTGGGCAAACTTTGACTCTGTTGGGATACGTGGCACAAATCTGAGCGCAGTCTGCGTCGAGGGACCTGGAGTACTAGTTAATTACCAGCAGAAAAGACACGAAGCTCACAGACTGGCAAGTCAGGGATTTTTCTGAAGAGACAGAGGCGTTCCAAAAAACCATGAGAGCGCGTTCCTCCCAGCAAGGAACGTCGATGATGCCGTTTTCTGGAGTCTCGAGGATGCCTAAAATATCTTTTGCGGGCGTCATTTTATTTTTCTGGGCGCCCGAAAGCCACTGCTTGTCATGGGCTCATTTCAAGGGTCAATTTCGATCCCGGTTTCTTGACGCAGGAGATCCCTGGTTAAGGGGGAAAGCTTGTGCTCTGCATATCTCGGGTTCGCGGCAGACCATGTAACCACCCACCCAGGGCGCACACTAGCAACAGAGCGATTTCTCCCTGGCAAGCAGGAGTTGGAACTGATCGACGAGCGTCACGGGCTCTGCAGGCTCCCAATGCCCTAAAAAAAGACATCCTGACCCAAGGGATTCTGTTGAGAGTGGGACGCTCAAACTCGCGCTTTGGAGAATGTAAAACAGGGAGCTTGACGGGTGATATTTAGTGGCATTTTTTGATAATTGATATCACTGTCCACCTTTGGCCTCTTTCCTCTTTGGCAAAAGCGCCTTATCGGTTCATGCCACCAGGTGGGCCAGAGCCCATCGCATATGTTAAGGAGATCAGAAGCCACAACAAACATCCCTGGGTCTTTCGCCTGAGACCAAATCACCCAATCTCTCCGCTCCCGTCGGTAGTGTTTCATGAGAGCCGAGGGTGAAGTGCCACAGAGCGTCATCATCAAGCCGGCACGCTATCTTCAGATCTTCGATTGCCCATCGGAAACTGCTGCGGTCAATCAGGAAGAATGCACGAAATGCCAGAGACGACATTATTATTCTGATCAGGCTGGCGGAATCACCAGCAGCAGTGGCTTGGCTCCCATCGTCCCATCGTCCCAAGCATGTAATTTATTCTTAGGCCCGTTTTGACGGAACCAAAAGGCCGGACTTGGCCGGTGGAGCCGCTAGCCGGACTGGCTGGGAGGGCGCTAGGCCCGGAACCGCCTAGCCAGGGGCAGCGGGCAGGCATGTTCCTCCGCTCCCGCTAATCATCGTGCTGGCCCGCCCGCTTAGCTAATTCTCCTGAAACGCCCAGCTCGCCACGCCTGGACATCGAACAAGAAGCGTGGGCCTGGTCGACCGACAGCCATCCCACCTCAGCATTTGATTTCCTTTTGGCTGGGATGCCAACTGCAAATTGGACCTGCGTTATCCGATGGCCTCACCAGCACGCTGAACGCCAGAGGATTTTTTTCTCAGAATGCCGCTACCCTTCCGGTCGTTCGCCGGCACGCAAGTCGAGAGGCACTTTCCGGTGTCTCACTCGGTACGGCATCACCGGAAGCAACCCGACTTTCTGATCACAAAATCAGTTGCAGCAGAAGAGGACAGCTCACAATTGAAAAGACAGGACAACATCCAGGTTCTCGCTATTCCCAGCCCGGAATAGTTGATCTCATCGTCGGATACGAGTTGATATTCTCCGCAGCAGAAACAGCCCAATCGCCTGTCTGGTAACCCGGGCTGGCTCAGTCCCGATCCATGAGTAAGCCTGCGGGTTTCGAGAGTGTGATGCCAAGCCCCGGGTGCCATCATTGAAATGACCCTCGCACCATGCATCTGTGCGGTTGTGCCTCTGCTGGCATATCTCTTGACAGAGTGAAAGGATTGGGGTTATAATTATTGGTATCATTACATATTATTGATTAGTGCTGTGTCTCGTTGCGAAATGGTCAACCTGCTTCCCAGTGAGATGAATCCTTCGATGCCTGCCTGAGGCTGCCGGTTCAAGCAGACTGATCACAAGTTCGTTTGGCGCGCCTCTTCCTTTTTCTTTTCTTTTTTTTCTTTCTCTCGAAGCCGTAAACTATTTGCATTAGTCCGTCAGGTTGTTTTGTGTCTGTCAGGAATCAGATTCTTCCTTCGCGTGACGCCCAATTGCGTCCACCTGTTGCCGTGACCAACATGCCCGCTTTTGAAAACAGCAGCGGCTCCGTACGCAGCGATGACAATACACAAAGCTAATTGCGGTAACTTAACTTAGCTCGGGATTCCACTCCTCTTCCCCCCAACCAGATCAGGCAAAATCCAACGACCTCTGTCCCATCTCCCTCCTTCTCCTCTCCAGTCCTCATTTTTCTCTTTCAATCCGCAGAGCACGTTGGAGCTGGCTATCGTTGAGTGTTGACACTGTTCTTCCGATTAACATTATTTTCTCTTTTTTTGAAACTCCCCGCCTTAATATTCGAGATATCCACTCCCACATGGGTTCGTATTATGACCAACGGCATTGAATCCCTGTCGCTGGCTTCTTGACTTGACTTGTTCAAATTTATCGACGGGATCATATCATCTTATTATTCTCTTCAGCTCGTCGCTTCCTCCTCTCTCGTTCCTCATAATTCAAATATCTCCGGATCGTGCGCGGCCGTATTCACTTTCCTCTTCCCGTACCTCCGAACTTCTGTGCCGGGGCGCTGGCTGCGCTTTACGTTCATTTCTTCGCTTGATCAACATCGTGACCGTCGCTCTTTTCGTGTACGATAAACTATACCGTTGCTAGTGGGCTACGAATTTTTGATTCACCAGTCGCGAAGGATCGTTGATGGTACCTTAGTCGTAGCCCTCGACAATTCCATTCGTCTTATCCCTCGTTCTTTTTACATCGACCGCCTTACATGGCTATTTGTAACCGGAAGCTTTAGGCTGGGAGGACAGGTCCTCTTTGGATTCCTCCATCAAATTCCATCTTTGGTATTAAACCTTGCCCGGTTTGTCGTGCTTCCAAGAATATTGACTGCTGACATTTCGCCTTTATCTAGATTTCCTGCGCAGTCACTCATTTTCAAAACATTCCTAATTGCATATTCGAGCCAGGCTCCAAAAATCGCGGCAATTGGTGTATCCTGTTTGCGTCCAGCCAATTTTGCAGCACTTGCGTCCTGTGCGGAATGCTTCGAAGTTTAGTATCCTGCATTAAACATCTTCTTTGTTGATGCACTAAAAATACATCTTGCATTTGCAAAAATGAATCGATTTAGAGCCAAGAAGAAGCTCAAGGACGATGGCGACTCGGAGACACATGCGTTACCCTCTTTTACATTCAGAAAAAAGAAAAACCAGATCGAGTCCAAATCAGAAATCGATCTCTCAGCGGCCTTGCCATCGGCAGATGACTTTCGGACGAGTCTTTTGATGCCAAATTTATCAGCCCGATTTAGCATGCTCCGAGAACAAGATGACCCTACAACGAAGATTGGGAAAGCAAACGACGATAGCGTTCTCTTCCCTAGAAGAGCTTCGAGGCTCAATTTGTTCGCGCATAACCCTTTGACAGATATCGCCGAAGTTTCGTCTCTTAGTGGTTCAGCAAGGCCATCACTTAACCTGTGTCGCACGTCTTATGTGTCTGGTGAAGGCTCCCACACCGATGATGACTCTTCACAAAGTGTTCTGAGTAGACCCAGGCCCGTCGAAGGCAACAACCTGTTCGGAGGGCGCCAAAAAATTTACAAGATTCCCGTTAAGAATTCGTCAACGTCCGAATTCCCTCCTCTTGAAGAAAGGAGGCCAAGTGACGGTTTGGGAAAGGCTTCATATGAGGACGATATGCCAGTCTCGACCTTTCAGCAACTGAAGGAGAACGAACGTGAACGACAAACTGGAGAGGCTAGCGATCTACGTGAGGTCGCCCAGCGAATTGAAGACGAGATTTTAGCCAAATTACCGGGTGATCAGCCTATTACTGCTACTCAAGGCATCAATTCTCAAGCTCATACCCCTGAACATGGATCGGCCTCTTCCACTCCAGTAAGGCACAACTTCTCCAACTTGGAGAGGAACCCGACCAAAACACGCCGGTTGTATGGACAGGGCCTCGAGGTACAGAACCAACAAAATATGACTCTCGATAGGATTGAAAGTCTAAGCCGAAAACCTAAGATTGCAGATCCCACGCAAATGACGCGGTCACTCTCTAAGAGTGCTGTTAGCTTAAATGAAAAGTATCAAAAACTTGGGCCAGTGTACGCATCGTCTAACTTTCGTCCAAACAGTCCTCCTCTGTCAGCATCCTCAGTTTCTGGGAACGAATTAAGCAGGAAAACTGCCCCAGCGAACAGCACTAGCCAGGGGTACCAGATTGCCGCCCCCCTAAGCCCACCTTTGAGTGAAAGTGGAGAAATATCACCACTTGCAGCCGCCCTTCAGCCTGAGGATAGAGGCAAGGCCACGGCTACCGGGTTGTTTAACAAACCATCCTCTAAGTATGACGAGAATCAATTCCAACAACGCCAGGTTCAAATGTACGAAGGCAAGAATACGCTCCCATACCGTCGCCCCGCGCACGGGCCTGAGACTGAAAAGACCGGACGACCTCGAGGTTTGTCTACAACCAGTTACCGTTCTAGGGCCGAATCAGCCGCATCGGCGTACAGTGGCTCCCAAGATGGGCATCCACCTCGACTGACGCAAAATCTCCGCAGAGGATCTCCGCCACGTGCTGAAAATGGGACCTTCTTGGCAAATCTTAGCGAAAGCGAGCCAGGCAGTGATGTTGAAGGAGATGTCGCCTCAAAGTCGAAAGTTATGCCCACCGCTCCGAAGTTTGATAGCACTTATGCGAGTTTGAGGAGCAGTAGTGAGTCCAGTGACTCAGGTCCGTATGGGCAACCCAGTCGATCGCTATATTCAACTCAGGCTGAGTTGAAGCGTTCGGAATCTCGTGATCTTAAAACGATCAATGAAATTGAGACAGTGGACGCTTTGTCACCCGTTCGTGAGGGACGGTCAGAAAAACCAAAGGATTCACCTACACTAGGGCCATCCGAAGCAGGCGGTCTCAGCGGGTTAATCCGAATGCATCTGAGGCACGACAGCGATAAATCTTCAATCTTCCCCCCTCCTTCTCCGGGCCTGCCTCCCAGTTCCTTCGATAACAACCGTGCTATTAATCCTTCAATCCAAGCAACCAGAGAATCGAGCCATTCTGCTAGCATTCACAGTAATCCATGGGAGCTTGACGAGTGGAGCAAGCCTTCTCAAACTTCTGAAAGGTCGAATCATTCCCCTCCGCGGCCATTCCAACACCCAGACCAGCCACCGCATCAACAGCAAAGTGGATTCTCGGCCATGTCGTTGAGGGCGAAGCAGATGTTAGATCAAGCAAACGCTCTCAGCGGACAAGGACATACGTTTGACACCCGAGAGCCCAGTAACCGACCCCTGCTACAAGGACCGAGCGCGTCTTGGCAAGAGGGAGTCCCACAGCATCGCCGGGGTGGCAGTTCGGAGACCCAAATGGAGAGAGAGGAATTGGCACATGAATTAGCCGAGAGGCGAAGAAAAGTCCATGAAAAGCTAAAGAGCTTTGCAGAAAATGAAAGCAGCAGATCAGCCAGTCCAACATCTGGAGGATTTAGAGATATTGGCCCCGGAAAAGCTGGAAACGCATTCGCTATGCTTAAGACCAAGGCTTCTAGGAGCAATGCCCTACATGATGTACCTCAACCGAAACCACTTAAAATACTAGGCATGGAAAGCACTGCTCACAATGCTTCTGCGCCTAATCTAGCATCGAACAACGAATTTTGGCGTGACGACGAAGAAAAACGACTCCGCGATTATGCGAAGCAGCCTCGAACTTCGTCGCCTCATGTTACTGTTCGCCATGGAAGGCCACACCCGCAACAAACACAATCCACCCCCCGTGGTAGCCATGAAGAAGCTCCAGATACCTTCCGCGACGGACTATCTTCCTCTTGGAGACAGCCGCGTAGCGCAAGGGATAGATCAACATCAGACGCCTCTGGCCGATCTAAGAGTCGTCCAAGACACCGCGATGACCTAGAGAATCTCGGAAGAATCACGGATAGTCCGCAACACAGACCCGCCGGCGAGGAAAACAGGCATTATAGAGGAGCTCCTTCAGGACCTTCTTCCACGCGACCCTCAGCCGAGAGTGAGCGGCTTCAACCCGAAAGGTCTGGATCTGCCATGGGTGGACGGGTTTCGGAGCAATAGCAGGCCTGTACCTCCTAACTTTCCTGAGACTCGAATTCCACATCCTGTGCAAACTAGTCAGTCTATGGGGATTGGTTCCTCTCCACGCCCTTCGCCGATAACTCCGTATTCAGCCAATGCAACTCCGCCCCTATATGAAACTTCTCCCGTAAATTCATCTATGCCTACACCCACGTTCGGCGGCACCCCTCCACCAGGCCAGTCGGCGCAATGGAATCAAAGCCTCGGCTCTCACAAACGATTTGTTGACAAATCGCTGATTTCTGAACCCAAATTCGTCTCCAGCACGTCCAATGTCCCAACTGTCGGCCTCCCGCCGGGTGCCAGTCTCAGTAACGGAAGCTCAACTCCCCCAGTCCCTCCCATGAACCCAAGAAGACGGCGACCGACAGCGACCCAGACCATATTGGGCGCTTTCAAGGGCTCTGATAGACTTGATACTGTAACGATGCCAATTTCCTCGGGTAAATCCCAGGAGGAACAGAGCACGTTCTCAGACGAAGATAAACGGTCCCGACCGCGCCAACGGCTACGCAAGATATCAAGTGAGGGCGGGAATCTCAATGCCAAAGCTCGCCAGCAAGCTATGATGGCGAAATCCCCAGCTATACCACAAGTTCCAACGCCTGTTGGAACGCCAGTACGAATGGAGGGCGGGATGTTCTAATAAATCATCAATGATCACCCCGAACTCATCCCCACTGGCATGCGAGTCTCTCTTCCGCTCTTTTTGTGTGTCCGCCCGGATAATCTTTACCATTCTTTCTCCTCGATGTAACAACTTTATACTAACTTCGATTCTGTGTATTTTGCTCTTGTCGTTTTCTCTGGAGACGATTTTCTTTGTCCTAATAATACCCCCGATAAAACTTCTTTTTCAAACATTCGATAATTTTATCCTTGTATAAGCTCCATTTTTTTATTTTATGCTGCCTTTGAGCGGGTTAGAAAACGGCTCCCATATTCCTTTTTTTGTTTCCAATTATTGAGGAGGTATTTCTGCTTGACTGAGTGATCTGACTGGGGACTCTTTTGATGAGGGGAGTTAATGTGTTTTAGGTGTGTGATATAGGAGTACTTTCCAAATGAAAAGAAATTGTGCAAACCCTCTTCATTCTCTATTTGACGAAGCAAAACCTCTACATTGACTAATGCGAAGGGAGTGTAACATAATCCATAAACACTAGGAAGGGAAAAATGGACTATTTTGATGCAAGCCAGGATTACTTGCCTGTTCCTGTGTTCTCTTTCGCTGTCAAAACCCAACTGCACCCAATATGTAGGGCAGACAACGGAAATGACGGCCTGCTGGAAGTTATCATTGCACACAGACAGGGAGGTATCTAGGAAAAAGTCCACGAATTGCTGAGAGATTGTCATGTAGGAGTCCTGTATGTGTGGAAATTTCCGTTCTTGAAAACAATGAATCTCCTCTTGTTTGCAAACTTCAACCTCACCTCACTTCACTTCCTGTCTTCCTCACCACAACAAACCAAGCCCAGCACTTTGAACACAACCTGCATGGGCATCTTCTCGTTGAATCCCCTTCTTCCTCATTCATCTGTGGCTCATCGGCCTGTCTCTTTTGCTGCCAGTAAATGAGACTCTTCTTGCATTCTTGACCTCCAACTGGACAAACCCCTCGCGGCATCCCAATCACTGCTATTTCTCATTTGTATTCTCTTTCCTCTCTCTTTGCTTTTGCCCTTTGTCCTCTCCTGTCCAGAAATCAGGAGGGCAACATATCAGAGCAGCCTTTCCAGATCCCCTTCCGCAGTGATAGCAAGTCAGCACATCCACCTTTTTCCAGGCCTGCTTTTAGGCTATTTTCGATTCCACCCGTCTCATCCCTAGCTTCGTCCTTCCATCATGGCTGAAACACCTGCTGCAACTAATAGCCAGGATGCTCATGAAGGCCTCATTATTCATCCACCCATGCCCAGCACTGAAAGTCAAGCTAGTGATGAGAAATCATCAAATGCAAATATCTCACTGACCCTTTCTAGAAGCAAAGCACGCAAGTTAAAAAGAAGGATCAAAGCCTGCGAGGACGGATCCGTGGAGGATGTCGCAAAACAGGACATCCAGGTATACTCCCAAGTCAAAAAGATGTGGCTCAAGTCAAAATCAAACCGGAGAAACTTCAGTCACTGTATGCCTTATGGTAATGAAGTTAACGACGATGAGGGCGATGCACAACCAGAGAATACACCAGCCAAACAGGACGACGAAGTCCAAGACAATGATATTGTCAGCGGGAATGCCAGCAGCAACACCAAAGCGAATGAACATGGGAAGCAAAGGAAGAATAAGTGTCGAGCGAAGTCACAAAGCAACCCAATAAGTGTCCTGAAGCACGGCGATAAAAAAAACTCGAAAGAACAGGTTGATTTGACAGAGGACAAGACAAAGCAATCCGTAGACGATGATACTACGAATGAGGATGCCACAAACGAGGGAAAATCAAACAGTTGTGATTTTCGTCCTGAATTTAAGAGTAGAGGAACTGAACTATGTCCAGGTAGGGACGGTGCACTTCCTGGAAGAGCTCTGCCAACAATGATACTGACCACTCCCGTTATATAGCAATACTGTCCTCGGAGAGACGCAGAACTTTATCACAAGCTCCACCAAGTTTGAACGAAGATGGCACTACTGCCACGTCCTGTACCTTACAGGCGCTAAACACTGGAGATAGTCAAAATGAAAAAGAGCCTTGCGAACGAACCATTTTTTGCAAAAATGGGATTGTCTTTGGGCACTATTCCGACCCATCGTCAGGAACAGTATCTTCGCATCCGCCTCGCCCTAGTCCTCATTCCGAGCAAGAATATCATCAACAAGTCCGTGGCCCGTATGACCAGGCAGCGCCGCGTCTCCATTTTCCAGGAGGTTGGGCCCAGCACTCGGATCCGTATCAACAATCTCGGGTGTCTCAGCCGCACAATCCAAAGTACTGTCCCCCGTTCTTGGTTCCGGAAGGGTATTACGGCGCTCAGTACCCATATCCACTGCATAATACAGCATGTGCTCCGTATAATGATACAGAGCGATGTGCTGCAGATGGCGGGCAACACAGCCACCAGTGGCCATACCAACGCCCAGTTTCTGATATGAGCCATTGCCCAGTTGAAACTGTATCTGATTTGGATGGTCTGGATACAATCCGCATAAATCGCCAGGCACGGCAACCCCTGATTCAGAGAGATATCACTCCCAAAGACCGCTTTAACATGCTAGCAAATGGTACAGACCGGCCATTGGATTTCGATACTGGGCGAATCACAGCGGTACCGACTCGCGTTCAGGGCAATGCAGATGCCAACACAGAGACGCGGGCGATAATCAGTTATCTTCTTCGGGCCTTCAAATCCGGTCTGCACTCAGACTACAAATTGAGTTTGCAAAGCAAGGAGGAACACATTCCTCCGCTTCACTTTAACCCTCATAGTCTTATAATGTGGAGAAACCCGCACCTGAATACTATTATGAAGAATATTGAGAAAGGGCAGTTTCCAAGGGAAATCAACATTGTTGCTGAAACCAGCTTTACAATCCCAGCAGCTTTCGACATTGCGCTTCAAAACCTCTATGGTGCTCCGCTAATGACCAAGGAGCAAATGGGCAAGCCAGAAATTCTTGCTGTCAACTGGGGTTGTCAGGTTGGTGATGTCGCTCGAATGAATTTTGCGTTGTCTTATCTCAGTTCCGGAGCTTTTTTGGCGAACCGGAATATCATTGCAAGCGCGATTCGAATGATAAAGTCGATCCTTGATTGGAACACCTTGGAAACACTTGTTCATTTCGGATTTGCCACCAACCAGTACCTAATCGGCTGCAGTGATGAATTCGCTCGGGATAGAGAGTCCGATTCAGACAGCTCAAACGACGAGAGTATTGATACGGTGGAGGATTTCGATATCAATGGGAACCACCGAGAACCACAGCCCGACAACCCGTTTTTATCGAAGAAAACCCTCAACCTTGAGCTAGTTCATAAATGGGGTCCCAAGTTGCTAAAAGCCGCCCTAAAATTCGTTGCAGCTGAGATCACTCCAGATTTTACGTTTCACCCTTCCGCCAGGACTGCCATAATGCCTGATCGATTGGGATGGCCCCAAGAGGCGAGCTACTCGTCGATTGAGAGCGCGGCGGCCGATATCACCTGGCACAAGAATAGGGCGGTATCCGCAACGCTTATAGCGCTCCCATACAAACATCTGCGATTGGTGTTCGATTTCATGGCTGCATTTGGAAATCAGGATATAGATCTTGCAAGAGCTGTGGTGGCTCAGAGAGAATCCCGGCGCATGAGAACTTTGCGCAAACTGCAACTTAACGGCGGCGACGAAGAGTATTTGCTTCCAACATCAGATGTTCCACTGGGATGGGAAGAGGTTATCGTCGAGCAAGGACAGAAGATGAGGCTGGCTAGAGAGTGGAAGGGGGCCAGCGCAACCGTATCAAACGCGAGTCCCGATCCGGAGTCCTTGACGCATTATCCAGGCTATTCTTGATTATCCGCGGCTGTTGCGGAGGTGTGGTTGCCTTGCAGATTTCTCTTGTGTCTTAAGAGTGAAATGGAAAAGTTGTTTCTTGTTATTTTGGCGATATTCAGAGCGACCTGTGCTCAACTCAACAGTCTGATTTGTCAAGATGTGGACTGGCTTTCAGAAACAGGGAATTTCAGATAGCCGCTGCTTGTGATTCTTGCTCGGCGTTGCGCTTTTCATGTTTGGATTCACCCCTTTTGTAACAGGCCAATCAGATTGTGTAATTATCGAAACTGAATTAATTACAGCACATCTGGTTTAGGAAGTCAGCCGTATATTTGCCGTAATTACTAATCCATTACTAGTCCAAGCCCTCCGGCCAAAAAGGGAAAGAAATGGTTGCGCGGGCTGCGAAGCAAAAGGACGAGCATCTCAAACAATGCCATCTTCACGTTAAACCTCCTCAACTAGCATGATTATGTTGTTTGCCCATCTGCGCGGCTTGCTTGCGGTGATGCTTCACTTTTCCTGACATTCACGGCGCCCGCACATATATCCGCTACCCCGCCCCCGCGCCCGGCTGCTTCAATCCACGCACTCAAGGCAAAGAGAGAGCCTTGATCTTACCAAGAGAGCGAACGCAAACATGGGAAAGCCAGCAGTCCCCCTTTCAGCGGACCTCCCTCCGCTGATAATGGGCACCGCAACGTTCAATTCTCAATACAACCCCGACCCGTACGCCCTCCCCACCACCGCTCTAGTCCACCGTGCCCTAGATGCAGGTATCCGAGCCTTCGACACCTCGCCCTACTATGGGCCAGCCGAAGAGCTTCTCGGGCGGGCTTTGTCTACGCCTTTTGTCCGCGACAACTATCCCCGACATACATATCGGTTACTCACAAAGGTCGGGCGCGTTGCAGCCTCTTCGTTTGATTACTCGCCGTCCTGGATCAGGCGGAGTCTGGCACGCAGCTTGTCCCGTCTCGACACCCCATACGTTGACGTGGTATACTGTCATGACGTAGAATTCGTTTCTGCAGAGGAAGTCCTTGTCGCTGTTAGGGAATTACGCCGGATCCGTGATACACAAGGAACCGTGAAATACGTGGGGATATCCGGCTACCCCGTCGATGTTCTATGCGAGCTTGCAGAAAAGATACTTATGGAGACTGGTGAGCCGCTCGATGCGGTGATGTCCTACGCAAACTTTACTGTGCAAAATACAAAGTTAGCGTCTGAGGGACTTCCTCGCCTTGTCGCTGCAGGAGTAGACGTGGTGCCCAATGCATCTCCGTTGGGAATGGGGCTGCTGAGACGGGACGGTGTGCCGGTTGGAAGTATGGGTGACTTTCATCCTGCGCCAGCCGGATTGCGGAGTGCGATTAGAGACGCAAGCCGGTGGGTGGAAGGGCAGGGTGAGAAAATTGAAGAGATTTCAATACGCTATGCGCTTGAAGAGTGGCTACGAGTTGGCTCGGCGGTAGGAACAGCGGAAGAGCCGTTGGCCTCGTTGTCGAATAGCAATTCTGACCATGTAGCAACGCATGCTACCGGGCGCAAGCTCGGTGTTAGCGTCATGGGCGTGAGTACCGTCGAGGAACTTGACGAAACCATTCGCGTCTGGCGAGGTATCATCGACGGTCTCGAAAAGGTCGTTGACATCGAGGTTTCCGAGAAAGCTTTGGATAAACACACGGATTCTGTATCTCTCAAAATCACTAGTTCCCACGATGATGCTGCAGCCAACAGTTCACATACGGCCCTTGCCGTTTGTGACGGTGCATCGAGTCATGAGTTGTCCCATATTCGACGCCAGCAAATCCTCTCACTCGCCGCTGACATCCGAAAGATTTTAGGCTCTGAGTGGGTTGATTACACGTGGTCCAGTCCCGAAAAGGGGTTCGTGAACGAACCTCCTCCTGTAGGCTATGATAAAGATATCAATCACGCCCTTTGATGTTGAACCATGGTTTCATTCATCATGGTTTGGACGCACTAGCAACAAGATCTAGTAACCAATCTACACAGCTCAAATGGATGGGGTGGCCCTTACGTAGACATAATATATTTTCTGCGTATAAAATAAAAACCAATATTTTAGACCAAATCAAAAGAGCTAAGTAGGTCTGTAGACTAATAAAAGTAACAATCTCGTTTGTCTCCTCTCCATGGACCGGCATATAGCAGATCCTATGATGAGAAGGAAAAGGAAAATAGCCTAGTCTGATACAGATTCGGCAAGCTGGAACCAAACGGGAAAGTAATTTCACAGTTGAAATCCAAGAGAGAGACAAGGAGAGAACCTATTAGCGAGCTGAGCCATGGACGTTGCCAATAAAACGCTAGGTTGCGCACTATACGGTGGTGAATATAGTATCCGGAAAGCATCGAGAGCGGCAGTCAAGTGGGACGCAGCGCCGGACCTGATGGAAAGTTCCTAGATATCGTTAAATGCAGTTAGTGTAGGAGCTGGATAGCAGTTAGCTAAATGGTAGCCTCATAACAGGCCTATTTTGATTGACGTTTAGGTCAGCTAGCACAGTTAGTATATTGGGGAAAGGAACCAAAAGAATTTAGGAGTTGGACGGGAGAAATTTTCAAAAAGCATGTACTCCGTAGACGATATTCATACATATAGAAACCACACGTATTGATGTAGACTGTTCAAAGGAGGTCATAGCACAACCACCACACCATTTTCCCAGTTAACAAATGTTTTGTTGGGTATCACATGCATCGTCACCAGAACAGAGGTAATTCAAAAGGCGCAAGCAAAGATGCAAGCAAGCCTAGCTATTGTTTAAAGATAAGATAGAACGAGCATCGTTCGTCCTTGAGGAATGGCAGGGAAAAATTTAGGAAAGCAAAAGGGCAGCGGCCAGAAGTTGACAAAAAATTCACAATGTGTCGAGCATCAACTCAGCTCGCTTGTTGCTGTTCAAGAGCCTTCTCTCTGGCAAGAAGGTCACGGACCATTTCGGTTTCACAAGAGTAGCCGCCAATTTTTATCGCCTCTTCATGGGTAAGAGATTCCGGGATCGCTTTCAAATCAGGCCGAAGTAACCTCAGGCGCGCCGCACGATCCAGAAATTTCTGCTTTTTTTTGCCAAGTTTCGGTCCAGCAGGCCCATTTGCCGATATTCCTACAGTCCCGAGTTCGGGTGGTGGAGGTGGTGGTGAAAGAGGAGGGGGGGGAGGGGGCGTTGAAACAGTTGGAAATACAGGAACGGCGTTGTGGTACTGAACATATCTTGGGTGGTTTGCGTAAAGCTCAAACAAGTGTTGTCGTTGTGCATGATATGACTCGTAATTCGCACCGATAATCAAAGCAAGTAAACTGGAGGTTTGGGACTTTGAGAACGGTATCGACGCCATGTTATGTCTTAGTATGTTGAAGGCCTCAGAGAATGCTTTGAATATCCTCCTAATCTCCTTTGTGCCAACAGACATATCATTGTCGCGGTTGTTAGGATCTATTATTGTAAGCCTATCACGGCTATTCGCTTGGTAAATATTCCGGGAATGCTTTGGGAACAAGTTAGCGAATCATCCTCTTGATAACACGCCAAGGGGAGTACCTTATAGAAGTAGCCAGGTGGGTTAAGGTCGATTCCAACTGTCGAGAAGTCAAATTTATTTCCATATAAATCGAAGAAATCCATAAGCACCCCTCCCAAGTTTGGTTCAGACATGCCATGAGGCAAATGCTGAAGCAGGCTAGTTACTAGACAGATAATGGAAAAACCACCTAAGCCCCCGGTAGGAACCTCGTTCAACCCTCTGAGGAGTAAAAATTGTTTAATCACGGAAACAATAAGCGGCATGGCAGGGAACTGAGTTTTCCATATCTGGAAAGTTCTGTTCGCCGTCAATCCACTACTATTGTCAAATGACAAGTCAACTTTCAACCCTGTCAGACGGTCTACAAATTTAATGATCGGGACTCGAGCATGCGCAATAGTCTCAATGGAACCGGGAACGGCAATCTCGGTATCTTTGATATATGCGGAAAGAGACCAGATATCCTTTGGCTTTTGACACAGGAACTTTTTGCCTTGGCGAAGAAAGGATCTTGAGAGCAATACCAGATCAACATCTGCAACTGGAAGATATAGTCCTGAAGCATATGAGCCAAAGGCATGTAGTTGTGAGCCGGGAAATCTCCTTTGCATGTGCATTTCAAGACGGGTGATAAGGTCAGTCCTGATCACATCCTCAAAGGGCTTTGGTTTTACCCAGTGGTAAAAGCCGATGATTTCGTCATGGAGTCTACGTGATTGTCAACTACACCGAAATTGACAGTTGGATTGCAAGGGTAGAAACTCACCTGGTTCCTAGGTGAAAAGGTAGCTGCGAGGAGCGAACAAACCATGGGCTAGAATCTTCACCGGGTAGAGATCGATATATTTGTATGATTGACCCATCCAAGTTGAAACGCGTGTCGGGCTTTTCAAACCGCATTGGTTTAAAAGAAGGTGCAATAATTTCATCATGTCGAGTGCGCTTTCGATTTCCAAGTGCAGGGTCCCCATCCCGATCAACGCGCGGTCCACGCGGTGCATTCTCTGGTGGCCGGTCCATTATCAAATCATCTGCACCCAGGGATATAAAATCTTCGTTTGACTCGATGGCATTGTTCTCTGCTGGCTTCACTTGTGCGGCGGCGATCCTCGCCTTGCGAATCAGTTTGACGACATCTTTCTTCTTGCCCTGACTTTCATCAGGCGGTGGGAGCACAGTATATGGATCAGGGTTCGACCATTTGGGCATTGTTGATGGCATCGCGCTTTCTGTGGCTTGCCGTTTTCTAGGTGGTTGACCGTCCTCAGCCAAAGAAGACTCCTCGTCGCTATCATTAAGTTCTTCCAGGTTCATAAACTTGGGCGGCTGCTTCTCACTGTCCTCGTTCATGAGCACGAACTCAGGAGTGGCATCTCTCTGCGTGGTCAGCAGAGGGCGCGCAAACGTTCGCGGTTGACGAGAGCGAAAAGTGAACTCGTGTTGTGGCCGGGACGTCCCATGGTCCCTGTTGCCACGAAACTCATAGGCTGTCGGCATCTTGTCGAGCTGTGCCAGCAAAACCTGAGTTGTAAGATGCAGCTATGTCGTCTGGCCAGGCATCCAGCAGCTGCAACGACGTCCAAGTCGATGGCGGTGGCCGGCAAAAGAGGTTGTGGTGGCTTCCGAAAAGGGAAAAAAAGTCAAATGAGCCGGAGGGCGGTGGAAGGCGGCAGTAACGCGACTTGCCACAGTGAGGAAACTTAGCCGGGCTGCCAAACACGGAAACGATGCCGAGTATCTCATCGACTTGTCCTGTTGCTGATGATTGCAGTCACTTGAGATTTTTGTATATTCTTGCACGTCCTGTCAATGGATAACTACGCGATGCACCCGTTGAGCTAGGAAATCAAGTGGGATACCGTAAACCCGTCTAAGGGTCACGTTAGAATGGAATGCTACTCTACTTGTGATCACTTTTGATACCCACAAACGGCGAGTTTGGGATTTCTGCGACGATTCTTCGTCGTTTATCCATTGAATGGATGAATCTAACCTCTGGTTGCCAGCCTGCCGTTAAGCAACCGTTGAATCCGGAAAAGAGTGCCTATGCAGTGCGACCTGATTCTCCCTTGCTCGTTTATCGGAACCATGGACCGGCACACTTCCTTTCTGCCGTGTGTCATACCGAAGAACCACGGGAATGTCATGCATGCCCGATGAGTCGCTCCAACCCCAGTCCTTGAGCCTTAGGAGCTGTCGAGTGCCACAAGCCGCTGACTCTGGAGAGCCTGTGGTGCACCCGTGCGCGTTAAGCGTAGGAGTATCGCGCTGGAATTATTCAGGGCCAAACGGTCAATCTAGAGAGACAGCATAAGCCGAGACCTAGCAGATAAGGAAACCAGTGGCCAGCAACGACCTTGGACCGTGATTCGGCCGCCTGGATATCCGCGAAAACAGAGTGTTCGAAACAATGTTTTACAGGAAGGACGAACTCGCTGAAGCCACACAAGCATCACTGATCGACTGCAGGCGCCAGGCTTTCTACACGTTGCGTTTTGCAGTGGAAAAGAATGTGAAATCACTCATCCAAAACCCAGATCCCACCAGCCCTTGCCCGCCTTGCCGGATCTTTTATTCCCATACATATCTTCTGTCAGGCCGAGCCCTGCTAAAAGCCACGAAATCATCAAGGGCTAGCTACTTGCATGTTCTCTCCAAGCCAGGGCATTTGTTCCGAGCACAACTATACCTAAAAGCGGCAATAAGGTCTGGACGACAGGATGCTTGCTTTGCGAAGATATGGATCCCAAAGAATATTCCGTACTGTTTGGCTGGCCTGCGGCGGGGCTATATTTTCATCTGTGACGCCAGAGCAGGTGTGGTGATATCAGCGTAGGACTTCTTAAAAGAGAAAGCGGTGTGAGGACAGAATATTGGTTGGACTGGGCCGTGAAAATAGGATAGAAGATGTGTCAGACAGACTGGGTTGGCTGTTGGCAAAGATACGATAACCCTGCAAACCGAGAACTGTGGTGGAGCAATGCAGCATTGCAGCAGAATGACCTTGCTGAGCCCAACCACAGTTTCGCGATGCGACCAGGCTTCCAAAAGAAATACTGCAATCCGATCCCCAAGCACCTTTCTCGGACTAGATTTACCAACCATCACGCCTTTCATACGGATGCTAACCGAATTTCTTCCGCGACGCTTTTTCTCATTGGTAGACATCGGAGTCAAGAACATGGTTCCAAAATTGTTAGCGTGAAACCCAAGACTGTCAGTGAGTTGGAGAAGGTTCCACCCTCGCAGAGATATCGAGGGGGTTGAAAGGATCCCCGGAAGACTGGAAGAAGGAAACATACCTCGTTCTGCGGTATATAAAGGGGAGGGAATATCCACTCCAAACTCGATCCCTTCTCCTCTTTTCCAACAACACCTTAACATCTTAATCGTCTCCGATTCCTCGTCAAACCCGAATAAACTAAAGTTCAACGCGAATATCTCTCACCCCCTATCGCAATCATGAGTATGCTCCACCTCTCTCTGAACGCGAACGGCAGCAGAGATCTGCTTTGCGTTGTCTGATTTCTTGCATATGGTTTCACGTCATGTGGACCACAACGGCTGCACAGCATGGTGGGCTGACTTGGGTCTTTTTTCTCTCTCTAGGTGGATGTGGATGCAGCTGTGGCTCCTCTTGCTCTTGCCCATCCGGCGCTTGCAACTGTGTAAGTTATTTGGTTTTAACCCACCTTACCACCGCTTCCGGCTGGAGACGCTTAAGCTAAGAAATTTGAGGTGAAGAAATAAATCATGCCGCTGGAGGCGCTGTTAGAGTCGACCCATCCATCTCACCGCTGTAGAATCTCGTTTGGTGCGGATCCTCAAGTCGAATATCCGAGGTTCTCCTGGCTGTCACTTGCTCGCTGCTTAACGCCCAATGCCCAAGGAACTGACGGATGTTTAAATCAAGTTTACCATGAGGGAAAGTAACGGGAAGGCCGAGGGCCAACTAGGGGAGGTGTCTCGATGGGTGTCAGGATATGCTTGGTGTTTGTTATGATTGTCATATTTGCTTTGCTTGTTGCCATCAGTACCTAGCCTGCTCTACGCATTGACGGGCGGCTACAATATCATCAGTATCAAGATAGTTTCAAGCAAATCTGACTTTATCCCTCCACCGCTTCCGCAAATGCTCGTCATTGTACTTTCTCCCGGTGAGCTCCAATTTGAGGATGCACACTGACGCTTTACTGATAGCTTGAAAGTCTTCTTCCCCCCTGTCCAGCTCGCCAGGCCCTCCCGTCGTCTTCCGTCTCGTCACTTCTGCTGCCAGAGATCGGACGAAACGGAGAATTAGCGCGGGGTGTTTCACGTGACAGCCCCGCAATCCTCGGGATTGGCCTTGGCATGCCGTGGGTGCGGACTCGGGCCGACCAACCGCAGCGCTGCTCGGCCATCCATCCCACTGCTTCCCCTTGTCAACACAGCACAACACTGACAACAGGGACGAGCAAAAAAAGAAAAAGACCGCAATTCGCACTGCTCTTCCTCGTCCCACTGCCTGGCCAGATGACCCCGGTCCAAAGGGAAGCGCCTTGTGGCCGGGATGTGACTCTCCATCCCTGATGGGCCATCCCAGCTTCTTCCGTTGCCCGGTCATGTCCACTCCGGGTCTCTGGAATAACCGTGTGTGACATGGACGGAACCTATTGCTTTTTCACTCGAGACGAGCTTCTGGTGCTGCCTGTGCTCCACGTCACCAGCTGGCAGGTTTGCTTCTTCCTGAGATGCGCCTGAGCCATCGCTGCTCGGAATGCCCTTCGTCTGGCTCTCTACTTGGGATTTGCAGGCTTTCGAAAGGCTCCTGAGCACCGGCATGTGTCAAGCTTGTGAATCGGCTGGTCGGCAGTGACATCAAAACGTCGGCCGGCGTCATCTTCTCTGGAGACTACAACTTCTCCCCCAATCTCAAGCTGATATTGTCAGACCACTTGAACGGGTTTCTTTGGCGCTTACAGGTGAGGCCTCCAATGCCTTGCCGGCGTGCGGGATGTCTTGCTCGAACTTTCTTTTCAAAAATAACGGCAAGAAACCATCCCTAATTCTCCACAAAACCTCCGTGTTGAGACCTGGAGTTTGAGATGTGTTTTTCTTATTCGATTACTGGGTCAGGAAGCCTGATATCCCGGGCTGCCTGGCGCTGGGGCCTGTGATGCAAGGCTGATATTGGAGAGCTTCTTCTCCACACTTCGCTATCCCACGCAGTCAGCCTTTGGCTAGTCCTCTCTGGACACATGGGCCATGCTTAGCTGGAGCTAATCTGCCATTTCTCCTTTCTGTCCAACGAGATACCAAGCCGGGGCCGCGCCATAGTTTGGACTAGTGATCCTTTCAACGTCATCTGTCAACATCGAGATATCCAGAAAGGACAGAGCTGCCTGTCCCAGAAAGACATAAAAGGCACCTCAATCCCCCGTCAACGCTCACTTTCTCTTCCTTCCTCAACCGCAAAGCAATCGAATTCCAATCCAAATACTTCTACCAACACATTCAACCTTTTAACGTTTTTACGTTTCCAAACCACTCAATCAACATGTCTCCCTGCTCCTGCAACTGCTGCTCCGGCAACTGCAACTCCTGCTCTTGCTCCAACTGCAGCGTAAGTTGACTGCCTGTTTCCCTTACCGTTCATCTTCTAGCTTAAGCTGCTCGCTGACAATTGATACCAGCACTAAATTAACCCGCGGCCTATGAGTCGATACTCTCCGCCCATCTCTCGATAATCGACATGTTCTGCTTCATTTACTCCGCGCAACCTCCAATCGAAACTCCCATTCGTCCCTGACAGCGAAATCGACTGAAAGACAACTTCACCTAGTCTTCTGGGACGCTTGCAATTGAACACCGTCCGAAACTGCCGAATTTCGATTGGAACACCGCGAAGTGCAACGGAGATGGCCTTTTGACAATTCACGGGAGATTTTGGCTCCGATGCGATATTTTTTTGGTTCTTTTGTGATTTTTGAGTGATGGATGTTTTTGACATGAAGGTCAGGTGGTGGATATTCTCTCATTTGTTGATAACTATATCAATATAATTTTGCATGGCCAGCAAACACTGTTCCTTTTCCTCGCTTCGTAGAGGCTTTGCCATTGTCGACATTCATCAGCATCGGTAGTTACTCGAGTCGGAAATAACACTATGCTCTAACTAACAGTTCCCCAATTCCCAAAAGCCACCACTCCTCCTTTGAAACCCGCAGGTCGAGGGCACCACCTATTTTACTCACAGCAGGCGTGTAACTGAAGCGCAGACTTTCTATTTTGACACTCGGTACATTAAAAACTGCCATTAATTAACTTCATAGATATCCCTTAACAACGCCTGCTTCACCAACCCAAAGGCTCTCCTCTTCCTGACCTCCCAGTTAGTCGTATTTTGGTCTGATTCACTGGGCGAAGAGGGATTATGTTATGTTGCTTTCTTTATCCAAGATCTAACCGGATGTATGCATTCAAGCGCCCTGGGACCATAGCAGTGGCCGAAGCTTTCCTTGCGTTCAAGCTCTCGCGATACCCCCTTTTGATTCAACCTTGCACTCTCCAACTGCATAACATCATCTGTACGAGAGCTCAAGCCCCTGCCAATAATCAAGTTCATGCAAGCTCTCTGCATCGAGACTGACCACGGCTGCGGTGTCTAAATCAGAGCTTTCCCCAGACTTTCATTCCCGCCTCCACACCTCGGCCTCTCATTTCTTGATCACGCCAGCCGTGTAAACATCCAATCCGTTTGCACGAGAAAGTCATCCCCCCTGGCCATCTCGGATTATTGGACCCCCGCACACTGTTCCTTTGGCTTGATGCTAGAATGTTCCCAGATCTGTCCCGAACACGCGGGATATGCATGTGGCATATTGCTTTTTTCTTTTTCTTTGCTTTTTCACTCGTCGAATCTGAACGGGGTTACCCCAGATTTTGTGATGATTGGTCGGGTTGAAGCAGGATATTGCTGGATATCAGAGAAAACGAGACCAGATAGGTTGAGGGCTGCTTGGTTGGGGGAAGCTTGACTTGAGATTGATCCTCCTTCTGTTGGCTGATAGGACACGTACCCGAGGGCTTTGGCCTCTTTCCGAGGGGATCAAGTTTTCCGGTGTTAGCCTAGCTGAACGATGGAACAAGAGCGAGAGCCTGGTATGAGAAGGAGTTTAACGGATATGGATTGGCTCCTTTCTATTCAACCTTCCATGGTCACGGCACATATTGCTAATGATGTCTATGTAAAACGATATGACAAGTGGACAAATCCTTGAAAATACCGGAGGAATTTAAAGCACCGCAAAAGCGAAACAAGGGCATAACTCCAAGCTAAACTTGGAGAGGATAGTGATCAAAACTCCTGGCTCGAGCCGGTTGCCTGACGCCCAAAGCTTCCTTGAAGGCGAACCACCAAGAAATCACAGTTCATCCCTCCCGCCACTCGCTTTTTTGTCATTGCTGGATTCACAGACCGCCGGCGTGGTCACATACATAGAATACACACACTTCTCATCCTCGGCAACTTTCAAGATTTCATCGTTTTCTCCGCATTCCAAGATGATCTTGGTTGATCTCGAAGGCCCATTCCAGCATTTCTGGCCGTTGATGTACTCCAATGCAACTTTCTCTTTGGGGACAATCCGCCCCGAGGCAGTCGCTTCGTCAATAGTCACAGAGGAAACTTTATCAAAGTTGCCCATAACGGTATCACCCCGGCCCTTTTTGGATTTTTGTGTCGTCCTATCCATCCAGCAAAGCTCATAATTGTATTCTCCGGAGTCCTTGGAAATACAACTGCCTTTAAGCGCAAGAAATACGGAATCTTTCCCAAAATCCTTTCCGAGATCCTCTTTGTGTTCTGCGAGTGAACTCTCCAACGTTGAGAGCGAAGACTCGGCAGCACTGAGCCGGTCGCGAGCCTCTCGAACAGCCTGGGTTTCATTGGAATCAGTGTCTGGTTCGGCAAGGATACCATTCGAAATCAGGAGTGATCTGAATTCTGCCAGTTTATCCTCCATGTAGTTGACTAGGGATGGCGGCAAGTACGCTGCCACTTTGTAGACTATGTTGCTAATTAGCATATGTTCTGGTCGAGGGACGAAGAATTATCTTACTGAGAGACATCCCCGACTCGTCCTGTTCATTCTCCCACTGTTCCCAGTTGATACCAGAATCAGGACCATCGGGTTTGGTTAATTCGTCAAGGTCCTGGTGGGGTGGCGCCATATCACTGTGGTCTTTGGCAACATAATCTTCCCAACTTCTCACCGCACGTTTGACGCCTTCATCATTGAAGTTGGGGTTGTATTCGTCTTTGAATTTGGACAACAAGCCCTCCAACTCAGTCAACCGGGTTTCAAGCTGTTCTTTTTGAAAGCGCACATCTACCAACGACGTTCGCAATTCTTCCACGCGATCCCTTGCAAGCCCTGCAAGAACATTGACTTTGCCCTGTTTTTTTCCCTTGACAATCTTTCCCCTATCTCTGGCGAATACCTTCTCGACCTCTTTCTCCAGCTCCCTAACTTTGATTTTCGACGCCTTGACCTCTACCTCCAAGTCCTTAACCCGATCCTCTGTCTCTTTTTTTAACTTGGAGGCTGCCTGAACAAGATCTCTTCGTTTTTTCATCGCAGCATTGAGTGATTTCTGCTTTGACTCTTCTTTCTTCCTCCATTCTTTTCCAATCTCTTTACATTTGTTTTCACACTTTATTCCCCCTGGATGTGCCCACTCATCACTTCCATCGCAGCATAAATCGTAATCGCATACTCCATCGTTTACCCGTTGAAAGGGTACGTAGGAGGGTTTGTGTCCCTTGTTTTTGCAATAGAACCCAGGGAGCGCTGGAGTTCGATTGCTCTTCTCGTCTCCCGGATCAGATATAAACGAAGGAGAGAAGTTTGATATAAAGGAGCAGGCTGAAGTTCCGGGCTCGTCACTACCGTCGGGGCAATCGCAATAGTCGTCATTAACGGCGGAATATGCAATCGTAATAGACGGGTTGGATATACATGTAAAGGTCGAGGAATCCTTATAGAATTTAGCGACTGCCCCGTGGATAAGTTAGTTTTTGAAAATGGCAACCATGGATGGCGAGAAGCTTGCCATTTGCTTGGACATACATTCAGGACCAACACCGCGTGGCCGAGCCGCCGCGCCGGCAGCCGTAGCGCCGGTGTAGAGTGCAGCTAAGCTTAGAAGAAGAAGGGCTCTGTGATTTCGAGTCATGATGGCAGCATTGGCCTCATTACTGCTGCTGCCAGCACCGGATCAGAAATAATCGCAATGGTTCTGTTGAGAGATTGAGGCCAGATACCTTGTTGTCTGAGCTCCTGGCCCGCTATCCTCATAGGGCATAGCGTGGCGCCCAGCTCTAGAGGTGGCGACGTGCGTTCGGCGGTTTCTGAGCTGCAATCTCCATCAGACCAATACATTCCGCATCAAACAGCATCACCACGCATTTAAAATGGGTAATGACGGTGGAAGGTCAGTTTCGCGCCATCCATGACAATCTACAGCCAACTACTAACGAGTGGTCTAGTATTCCCACGCGGCGGGAACTCGTCAAAGAGGCCGCCAAGGCCCCCAGCGCATCCCAGCTTAAAGAAACTCAGCGGGAACAACTCGAGCATTGCTGGACGACGTGTCCGTTATCTCATAAAGAACTCCGTCCTCCAATAGTGTCGGACTCTGTCGGAAATCTATATAATAAAGATACTATTCTTCGTTTTCTCCTTCCTGGAGACGACCTCGATGGCATGAGCTCGAAATCGGACTGCGAGGAAATCTTATGCGGAAGAGTCAAAAGTCTCCGCGACGTCGTTGAGGTCAAATTCAACCTTGATGACAGCCCTAGAGATGGCGATGAGAAGAAGCAAAGGAGGTTTACCTGCCCCGGTTACCAACAAAGAGCTTGGACCAAGCGTGAAATCCGTGTATCTTGTCCCGTGCGGCCATGCCTTTTCGGAGGAGGCTATCCGTGAAATGAAATCGGATAAATGCTTGCAGGTTAGTACGGATGCTCCCTTTCTTTTGGCCTTTGCATTTTCATTTATCTCCTCCGTGGCTAATACTTTTCCAGTGCAACGAATCGTATTCGCCCGAAAACATCATACCTATACTTCCAACCAAGGAGTCTGAAAAGGAGCGGCTTTTGTCGCGTAAACAAAAACTATCTAATGAAGGCCTTACTCACTCGCTAAAGAAAGCCCCGGGTTCAAGAAAACGAAAGAAGACTGGGGCTATTCCCAGTGTTGTTACGGGTGAACCGACAACCGACGTTGCGGCTGAGAAATCTTCTTCCGCTCAGAATGATAGACTCATCAGCAGGACTTCCACACCTCTTCCTTCAACAACTGGTGGGATCAAAAATGCTGCCACTGCGATGTTGACAAATCGCGTATTAGAAGAAGAAAACAAGCGTAAAAGGCGGAGAAAGGACCTTGCAAGTAATGAGACATTGCAAAGCCTGTTCACATCTAGTTCCAAAAATCAGAAGACAAAAGATGGTGATTTCATGACTCGAGGTTTTAGTATTCCGTCTGGAGCCAGAAGATGATGCGTGCATCCACCAGGATTTTAAACCCACCAAATGTGGCATATACTGATGAGCTTTCAAGCGGCGGGCAACGACGGTTTTGAATAACCTGTGCTTTATCAGCATGTCGTTAGATCGTTGAGCTAATCTAGGAGACACGGCAGCGCTTATGCTTAAATAACGATGACGATACGAGGAGCTTGTCAGTCCAATTTATGTCGTTCACTATGACAACCGGACCCCGAGCACTGGCTCTAATGCTGCCTCCCTTATTTACTTCACAAAACAAGATCTGGCCCCAGAGGCATTGATGCGATTATTGTTTCACCCTTATACTGGGGATGTTTTAAATCCATAGATTGCCAATAGCAAAAAGGGAAGAGGGGATTTAGCATCAATTCTTGCTTCACAATAAAACCACAATGCAAAGAGAGGCATCCTTAATGTCTACTGATCACTATACCCTGCAAAAGGGTCAATCTTGCCTGATGGGACATCCCGTCACGTGTGGCCTCTTGCCAACATCACCTGCCTGAATTCACATTCTATATGATGGGAAAGTCACCAGTTACCTTCTTACTTTAATGTGACATTTACATGGCAAAATTTCTTTGGCATTCAATTCCAAGCACTGCTTGTTAAGAAGAAGAAGAAGCCCAGGACTCCTTCATTCTAGGCTTTTACCTTCTGATTAGCAGCTAGAGTTGATCGAAACCAAAATTCTTTCTCACCTCTGTCGTTTTTGAGCTGTTGAAGGTTAGTGGCCTCACCTATCTAATATTTAGCAGGACTGAAATAAGCCATCCTTAGGTATCCGGCTGGGACCGTACTTCCAATCAACGCAACGGTCGTACATTATGTGCACTCTTAGTCATTGGCTCTATCAGAAATGTCAATGCACGAAATTTCGCGAGTTCATACCATGTACTTCCAACTACAAGGGCAACCGCTGTCTTAGAGTGAAACGGCAGGAAACTTGCCAACCCGGTCGCTGCCCGGATTGCAAAAGAAATCGGAGCCAAGGTCGAATTCAGCATTCAATACGCAATATCTTCCGTTGACCACGACGATTTCGTTATCGAACGGACAAAGTGAAGGCCTTATCGCAGCTTTGATGCGGCTTTCGAGTGGAGGAGCGCTTGTATCGCCTATACATGGATATATTATAAAAGGATATTCGATATCGGTCACGATGTGTCGAGTAACCTACGATATACGGAATCAGCCAATGGAGTCAAACTTGACCCGCGTTTATACGTATTCCGAAGGGATATAGCAGTGCCATTCTTTTCATTTTAGAAAATGAATGAACTGTTGTTTACTCCTGTTTACTCCCTTTTGATATAGGGGTCCAGCCTTGAGGGCAGCAAGTGAATGCTGTACTCAAACATCACAAAAGTATTTTAGTTTACATATCTTAACTGAGAACACCCTTTTCTGTTGATATTCTCCTTGTAGCACTTATCTTGGTACTTCCAACGCTTAGGCGATAGTGACCGTGACTGGCAATTTGACCAGGCTTTATTCACCATTCCCATATCACTGCTCTGAGACCCCGTACAGCTCAGTATATGATACAGAGTACTCCGTATGTATGTACTTATACGGTATTTGTGTTCAGATACCTGCTTGCAATTGAGAAATTTTCCACAATATAAAATACCCCCAGATTCAGCACCTGGATATGCATCTTCCTACTTCAACAACACTGAATCTGCTATCAACCATCTCATCAAGATATAGCCCACCAGAAATCCAGACCCCACATCGCTTCGAAAAACCCAGAATTCCCCCCCAACGACCAGATTCCATCTAGCAAACACGCCCCCAGGACTCGGAAGAATTTACACCACAATGTGCGTCATGATCGTTCACAAACACGACTGCCAGCATTATGAACGGGCGGGCGTCGAAACCTGCGCCGAGGCGAAGCGGACCGGAATCCCCTGCAAGAGCATCCAAGCAGAAACTAGATCTCGCGAAGGCCGTTGCAAAGAATGCAGGCTGGGCGACGCGCCCGGATATTGGTGGACTGGGGATAGACGCTATTGATTGCTATGGGTGGTGGGACTAGGGGTGGGGAGTTTGGAGGTAGTTCTATGATATATAAATCATGTTTATTCTTGGGAAATGGGCTCTCTCCTCTTTTGCTGGGGCGGCGAATGGATCAATTGACATGATGGCGTTGATGATGCGTGTATCCTGTTGACGCACCGTTGTCTTCTTACGGGAATTTGGTGGACAAGCGTCGTTTAACAAGAATGCCGGTCAAAACAGCATGTCAGCAATAGTTACATGCAGCCAGGGTTTGGAGACACTGCGGTCTAGAGGAAGGGAGACTTGTACGAACTACCAGGGCTTCAACGTCGGCATTCTGGCACCTTAGAACTTCAATCAAATCGAGCTTGCTTATAAACGATCTTGATATACTTGTACACGAACTAGATTAGCTAAATCTCAGCGAAATCGCTAGATACTATACAGGAACAGAATAGCGAACTGCCGGGGACTATTGGAAAATCGAAGTAGAAACTTATGTTTTCACGCGTCCAGTAACAGGCAGGCCCCTCTTTGTAAGTTCCTCCTCGATAATCTTCCATCGTCCAACCTCCTTTTCTTGATCAATTGGCGTCTGTCTCCTATCAAAGATTTTCACGTTGGGAAGAGCAGCAAACTTGCCCTCGGCGATGAGGATATCGGCGAGCTTTGCTGGCTTGGGTTTAGATGCCGCAGTGAACAATTTCAAGAGGCTGGATATCTCGGTCACAGATGAAATTTCCGGGTCAGGAACGCGGTAGCCAGTTAGCTGGCTGGCACGCTTGAGGAACTGAAAATACGGTTAGTTAAATCCGCCTCTGGGGATGCAAGTAATACGTACAGCAAACTGGAACGTTGGGTCTGTCAGGGGCATCGCCAAAAACTCAAGGTTTTCGGGAGTTCGAATCTCTAGGTCGGTAATATCCAATTGTGATAACGCGCTGGTCTCTGTGGGTCCGGGGGAAACTCCAGAAGCCTCAGACTCGTCGATGGGAGTTTCGTCAACGGTAGTTGTCTCGTCAAAGTCAATATCACGGAAGAATTCTAGGAGTGCAGTTTTCTCGACTTCGCTCGGGAAAACGAGCGCGTCCATTCCTAGATGATTGGACGATTTTACTTCAACGCGGTTCATGAGCGCCAGTACTTGTTCGTCGTACTCCCAAATATTGCAAACGTCTTCCAGTGGCCTATTGAGCTCCTTCATGATGCTAAGCTCCACAACTGCCTGATGGAGGGCCGTAAGGATCTCCTCGCGAGTGGTAAGTTTGCCTTTGTGCAAGAATCTACTGAAATATTAGACCCAATCCAATTTCGTTCGGCTCAAACAATGAGGTACTAGAAATCCCACACCGGGAGAACATACCCGTAAGATGAATCTTCAGGGTTTGGCGGGTAGTCCCACCATTGTCCGGACGTCCCAACGTGTTCCAAACCCTCCCACGTCGACGCAGGAATATACTCTTCGGGCACCGTTTCAGTCGGCGCAGCAGCAGACGTCGAACGTCCCTCAGGGATAACCTGCTGCGATTCCGGTTGCAATCGCCCTTCTCGCTGCTCTCGCGCTTTCTTTTCCAAGAAGCTCTCACCACCGTAGGGATCCTTCAGACCGGGAGGATTATCTGTTCCCCACAGCTTCCGACGGACCTTTTCGCTGAATGGGACACTACCACTGTCGGAGGAATTGTGTCGACGGGTATGCTGGTTGGCGATCAGCCGGGGCGCGCATCGTGGGAGGAATTGGCGTCTGCATGTCGAGCAAACATATCGAGTGCTGCTGGCCCGATAGGGCAGCGATTCCAGTGGGGCAATGAGACGCGCTCCTGATTGCATTGTTGCTTGAAGATTGAAAAACGGCAGCGAGATTTGAGACGCAATTTTTGGACAAAACGATTTTCGAAGCTTTGACGCCAAGGATAGTCACGTGCACAGTGACCTGCCACCTGCAGCCTTGGCACAAGCTCACATACAATTCTTGACTTATGTACGGAGTACATGCGAATTTGAACGATTTGCCGTCGTATGTACATTCTATACAAGCAATCTAGGGTATATAATATAACTCTGAACCAAATCCGCAGTCCCAATGCGGGCATATGGTCACACATCACCCTCAACTGCACTTCGAATTATTACTCCCGAACAAAGACGGAAGCCATCCCCATGCCTGTACCAATGCACATGCTCACAACGCCAACCTGCTCTCCTTGTCTTTCCAACTCGGGGAGCAAAGTAGCCAGTTGTCTGGCACCGGTGGCACCCAGGGGATGCCCAATAGCAATAGCACCGCCCTTGGGATTGACTTTATCCTCACTGATGCCCAATTTGCGCACGCAGTACAGAGCCTGGCTGGCAAATGCCTCGTTTATTTCCCAAATACCGACGTCGGACACCTCAAGCCCAGTGTGCTGGAGAAGCTTGGGAATAGCCACGGCCGGGCCAATTCCCATCTCGTCCGGTGCGCATCCGGCGACCTGCGTGGAAACCCATTTCCCAATAATACTAGAGGTCAAACCGAGCTCTGTTGCTGTAGAGCGGCGCATGAGCAGCGTAGCAGCAGCACCATCGCTAACCTGCGAGCTATTCCCGGCGGTGGAAGATCCCGTTTCAGAGAACGCAGGTTTCAGAGTAGCCAGTTTTTCCAATGACACCGTAGGCCGAATACCATCGTCCCTTGTGACAGTAACCTCAACCGCTGGACCCTCAGGATTATCCGCCGGAAGAGTTCTTGTGGTAACGGGCACAATCTCCTTGTCGAACAATCCATTCTTCTGAGCGGCAGCAGCTTTCTGATGAGAATTAGCCGAAAACGCATCTTGGTCATGCCTGTTTATTCCATATCTAGCCGCAACATTCTCCGACGTAAGTCCCATGGGCATAATGCAGTCCCTCGCATCCTTTGACTCGGAGTCCTTCAGCTCAGGCCACAAAACCGTGGGAATCGCCCTTGAACCATAGTTCCTCGTCATGGACTCCATCCCACCACCAACACCAACCGAGATCGCTCCCACAGAGATAGAATGCGCAATCGTCGATATCGCAGCGAGGCCCGAACTGCACTGCCGGTTGATCGTGTGGAAGGGCACGGTGTGCGGGAAACCGGCGTGGATCTGAGCCATACGGCCTGCCTTTGCACCGCCAAGTTCCTGCAACACGCTGCCGATGCACACGTCCTCGATGAGCGCGGGATCCAAGTTCGGGTTCGCGGCTAGCGTGGCGCGGAGGACGTGGGACAGGAGCTCTTCGGGATAGGCATCTTTGAATCCGCCCTTTTTGGCGCGGGTCACTGCGGTACGGAGGGACGAAAGGATGACGATGTCTGAAGGGGACTTTTGGAGGATCTGCTTGAGACCTCGCGGGACGGAGGCGGCCATTGTGCACGAAAGGGCGGATGGCGTTGGGATGGCTCGGGTAAAGGCGGAGATTTGGCCAGGCGTGAAGCAACTGTCCACGCGATGAAGTGACTGAAGGTAGAGAAGGAGTGCTGAAAACGATAAGAAAGGGAAGACTCAAATTCCAGAAAAGAGGACCTCAGCATAATAAGGCCGTTTTGTTGGCCCCCTTGAGGCAAAGCGCTTCGGGATGGCTTCTCATTTTCGCACTGCTTCGGCAAGGTCCCACGGCTAAAGACTCTACCGATGGCGAGAACCGGCGACAGCACCCTTTTCAAGAGTTACGATCCCCAAGCGGTTTGCGTTCCAGCTGGACATATTTGCTGTAGCTTTGATGAAAGGGTGCGAATACACGGTTATCAATTCCTGCTCTCGAGCTTCCTGACGAGAAAAGCCGCAGGAGACTTGCCGACTTCATCATCCACAAAGGTTGCGTGATGGAATATCGGTTTCTACGTTCAAAATCCAAACAAAGGAGCGAATATACCGCTTCAGTATGATATTCATCGGGAAGAAAAAGTCATAGACTAATACACTGGAGTCCGTATCACTCCTTGTATAGTACAAAAGGCCATAGCCCACAACCTGCTAAGAAACGCCTGCAGAAGGGTACATAACCTGGGAAGTAGGGATATCCTGCTAGACCACCAACGCCAAGGGCCGCCTGTAATCTACCCCGAACCCGCACCTTCAAAGCTGTCCTTTTCAACGCCAACCGAAAAAATATGTAAGAAACTGAGGGGGAAAAGCCAGTGGTTTTAACAACTAGGAACGGATGATATGACTGTAATGGCCAGGCACGCGTTGTCGGCACTTGTCGCAATCAGCTCGATATCCCATGGCGATAGTCAGCTTCTTTGGTCGCTCACTACCCGTCAAATGGCCGTTCAGTTGGGATACAGGCCTGGATGATGACGCATTCGAGCTATCATGAGTGGTAGGGCTATTGCCGGGTGGGAGATCCATATTTTGCCAATTTTCAGCACTGGTATCTTGCGTTGTTTGTAGATTAGGAACCTGTGGCGGTCCGGCTGGTAGCACGTTGGCCTGTGCAGGAGTGATCGAAATGCGAATCCCGGACGGATTGTATGAGCCAGGAAAGTTTACAATTTCATCCGGACACCGTTCTGAGCTTTCAGTGAAACCCATGGCATCTGCCTGGGCCTCATCCTCACTAATGGGACTTGGAAGTCTTCTGCGCCGCCACCAGCCTGCCTCATCTGCCGGCATTCGTTGGGAGGTGCGCGAAAGCTGTTGCTCAGCTAGAGAAACGGGGTCCCTCATCATCGAGTCTGTGGTCATATTCGACGTGAAGTGGCTAAATATCGGTGTCGCTGTTCGTCCTCCACTAACGGTTAGAGACTGATTGAGTAAGAATGATGGTATGGGAGATTCAAGACTGCTCTCTGGCCTCGATGGCCCAGAACCAGCAGACCATAACGGTTGCATGGTCGCAGACCTCGGCTGCGAATCCACCATTTCAAAATCCGAGTCCGATTCGTAGGGGACTCTCATGGAATTGAAAGCATGCGAGTGAATATCCATCTGCTGGTTCTGTGACATGTCCCGGTCACCTTCTTGCATCGGATCATCGTCAGACGACTCGGCGGGCGTGAGCGTAGACGAGGTCGGGAACGAAGGCTCAGAACGGTTGCGAGGCAATGGCTTGATATGTTTTAAAACGGGCGACTTGCGAAGAGGGAGAGGACGTGGTTTCTAGCAGGCGAATTTGATGAGTTCTCAGCTAATGCAAGGGGTCGAATCCTCCAGCAAGATATTCAAGGATGCCATTGGCAAAAGGATCTTGATCGAACACTCACCTTTTTATGCGGGATGACAGGCTCATGCGGTCCACTGGCTTCTTCTACGTCGTCTTCCCTCGTCCGCTTGTTCGAAGGATTCAACATGGTTGCTGAGACGCGTTTCCCCGAATGTCAACGATGGCGCAGGATCTCCGGCCCAACTGGGAAGGGCGCTGGTGTTTTGGGGCACTGTTTGTTTAATGGGGAGCAAGCCCTTGCCCATGAAAATGGATTGTTCAGAAGGAATGAGTGACGGAGGATGCGTGGGATAAATATAGCCTGACACAGCAGGCCGCGATCAGGGCGTTTCAGGTTGCATGCTGGCTCCAGCACCCCATGCCAATCGCCGCTCAAGACAGGACTCAACGGATCCAGGAGGGGCAGATGGAGCAGGCTGCTTGTCATTCAATCCGACGTCAGCCCTGGCCAAAGGAGGTTCTGGGAGTTTGGAGACTGTTGCAGAAAGACTGCTGGATTCCAGATGGACCACAGACAGCTGCAGGGGCTTCTCATGTGTTCTGGCTGAACCCCAGAACTTAAAACAGGGCCATGTGGACTTTTTTTGAGTGGTGCACTGGCTATTAGTTTGTTCAATATATCTTGAGATGGCGTTCTGTCGGACGGCCACCAGCGATGGCTCTCCAATAGCAAGATGTCTGGGGCTAATCCTGTTGATTCTACGTGGAGAAATGATGCACTCCGTCTTACTGTCTATCAAAAGCACATGTTTTGCAATCTACCAATCCCTATCTATATATATACTAATTGGCTACCGTACAGAGATAATGATGTGATGAGGAGATTCAAGCATGACTGTGTGGTTCCACCAACAACCCCAGCAGCATCCGTGATTCCAAAAACATGGAATTTGGCCAGATTCAAGATCTCGTGGCCGAATCCTCCCTCGGCTCCACTCCCAGCGGTTCAAGAACCGACCGCTAGTGCGGCCGGATTGTAAGCTGAAGCGCAATAAAGCCATGGGTTTTCTGACGAGTGCACGGCTCAACGGGTCATGCAATGAGCTTGTCGATGCTTTGCTCCGTTGCCCGACTCTGCAGGCGGCAACCCCAGCCGCGGCGGTCGAGGCCATGCGGATCCCTGGCAGGCTGGTCCTTGGGAAGAGCGCACAGGAATTCGAGAAGGGCATGAGGCATTTGAAAACCAATTGCCCATGTCTCACCCTCGCCCACATCACCGGCCAGCAGTGAAGGTGTGTACTGTGTGACGGCAGCGAACCGTCACGTGCCGGCCCAAAAGGTGCAAACTGGCGCCAGAACGCACGGAATCCACAGCCGCATTACTAGCGCGTTACAAGCGGGCTTTGCCGGCTCGGGCAGTTCCCCACGCAAACAACAGAAATCACACATTTTTCTGCTGCTCGCTGTTGGTGGTTCGTCTGTGAACACCGTTGCGCCTGACTCTCTCTCTCCCACTGCCAGTCACTGCACCAACAACAGGAACCTGCCAGTCTCTTCTTCTATAAAGCTGTCGCCTTTTGCCTCGTGCTCCTCTCTTCTCGCTCAATCGTTTTTTCGTCACGTAGGTTCGTCAGGATACCCTGCAGCACAATGCCTTTGGTCAAAGCTGCCCCAGAAGTCAACGAAGACAGCCGGAGTAAGACTGGGCCCCTCTCCCCTTGTATTGGACTCATCATCTAATAAGTCGTCCAGTTTTGGGCTATGACCCATTGCTGTCGCCTCAATTCCTTCAGAGTGAAGTTCGCGCTGTGAGTCATTCCGTGGTGAGGGGAAGACAGGGAAGGTTCGGATCCCTGACAATTGCTTTGCATAGCCAACTCAAGCCCTCGAGACTGTTCGCTCGGGTCGTGACCAAGCTATTGAGGTCATCGAACAGCGTGATGACCGTCTCCTTGTTGTCGTCGGTCCATGCTCCATCCACGATCCGGACACCGCTCTTGAATATGCGCGGAGGTTGAAGGCGCTCGCGGCAAAACTCCAACAAGACTTGTGCATCATCATGCGTGCCTACCTGGAAAAGCCTCGAACCACGGTCGGTTGGAAAGGTCTCATCAACGACCCGGACATCGACTCGTCGTTCAACATCAATAAAGGTCTCCGTGTGTCGCGCAAGCTCTATGCGGACCTGAATGGCATGGGTATTCCCGATCGCCAGCGAAATGTTGGACACCATTTCTCCCCCAGTTTTTGGCCGACCTCATTTCGCTAGGTGCTATCGGCGCCCGGACCACAGAGTCACAGCTTCACCGCGAGCTCGCATCCGGTCTGAGCTTCCCCGATTGGGTACAAGAATGGAACCGACGGTAATCTAGGGATCGCAATCGACGCCATCGGTGCAGCCGCACATCCACATCATTTCCTTGGTGTAACCAAGCAGGGTTTGGCAGCCATCACCAAAACAGCCGGTAACGAGCATGGGTTCGTTATTCTTCGCGGCGGTAATAAGGGAACCAACTATGATCCAGAGAGTATTGCTGCTGCGCGACAGGAGCTTCGAAAGAAAGGCCAGCGTGAGATTGTGATGGTTGACTGCTCTCACGGCAATTCGAACAAGAACCACCTGAACCAACCCAAGGTAGCCAAGTGTGTCGCTGATCAGCTCCGTAACGGCGAGGACGCCATCATCGGCGTCATGATCGAGTCGAACATGTACGAAGGAAACCAAAAGGTGCCTCCCGAGGGCCCGAGCGGCTTGGCCAAGGGTGTCAGCATCACGGATGCCTGCATCAATTGGGAGATGACTGTTGACGTCTTGGAGGATTTGGCCGAAGCTGTTCGCACCCGCAGAAAGACCCGCGGTGCCAAAGCCAATGGCATCAACGGCAGTTCCTAAAAACAAAGTCAAGGATCAAGCACATAAATCTGGGTAGAGGGTTTCCTTTTTTTGTCCCCCTTTTCCTTTTCTGAAATGACACTTTCTCCTGGTGGTACGCCTTCTCCGCCTTTCCGCATCTGCGTGTTACCTTGGTTCAACATTCAAGTACCCCATCAAGCAAAAGTGATTTTTCTCCCCTTTTTCTTTTGATTATGACATTGTATTGGCCAAGGCACTTTGTATTTCGGGCTTATTCTTTCGGTTGTGCTGCTCGTCCACGAAGTTTCTGCATTAGAATTTTTTTCAATGTATAGAGCCTTCAACATGAGATAGTCCAGCCTGTCCGCGGGTATTCATTCCTATGGTTGTAACAGTGATCGGTGACTTGAATCATAGTGCTCACAACCACAGAGACGCGCTCTGTAACCCAACAGTAATCAATTGTCGCCGAGGACCCTTGTTCACATGTTGCATTTATTTTGAAAGTGTCGGTTTGAAGATCAACAAATCCCTGTCTGCCAAATCGATCATACGGAGAAATCCAGAGGAGTATAGTAAAAAAAAAGGAGCGAGTGTTATAATAAGAAAGGGAAAAAAGGAGAAACGGAACGGTACGCAGAATTCGGGGATTCCCTTTCACTAAATACTTCTGGGAGAAAGATCGACCAAGCCGCCGCGCTGAAATAGCCGTGCGGTCCCACTTCTGCGCCGGATGTAGCCTGTCGCTCGTCGGGTATTTCCACCGCGATGGTTTTTCCCTTTGTTGAAAGCCCTCTTGGATTCTAGGGAGGTTCAATCGGACTCCGATGTTTAGTTATATTTGTTTATAGTCCACTGGGTGACAATGTGTGACAACCAACGTCTCTTGGTTGTTGGTGGTTGAGTTGTTAACCAAGTTCTCTGATCTCACACATGGACGGCAAGGGTCTTCAGTCTTGTTGGTGCAACACTGGGCAAAAGTCTCTGCGGCACACGGCACGGGAGCCAGAGCCCTACAAAGAAAATACCATGCCGATAGAGAAATAGCTATCCACTATTGAGTTATTATCCCAGTGTGATTTTCATTTGCATTATTATTTTCTTTGCTTAACTGACATGCCAAACTGTGACTCCAGGTTCTATTGGCCCAGGCTTTCATCACGCCATGTTCACCAGGAACAATCACTTACAATACATTCTCTGCAGCTACTTTCGGTTATTGATAATGCTTCACTGTACTCAATAAGAGGCACGGGATCCTTGATTGAAGTACGGCTTACGGCGTCTTCGTGGAACTTTTAGGCGGAAATGGTCAGCCACCCCGGCAAGCGGACCAACAATTAGTTATACTGTTGGAGTATTAACAAGAGCATTATCGTCGCCAGCCTGGTAGCAACTAATAATGCAATTTTCATTCAAACGTATACCAAAACTACTAGGATTCCCGGTCACCTGTCAGTCCAAATAGCAGTGAGAGATCATCTCATAGCTTGCTTTCAGCCTGCGCTTCAACTGGCTAATTGGGCCTAGCAAGCTCCTATTCCTTGCATAGATCTTCCAAAAGATCAAACATTCGCTGCTGAAAATCACGCAAATCTTCCAGCGAGAGAACATCTCCTCTTTTCGGAGATTCCACATGTCCAGCCTTTTCTCCTACTAATCCCGGTGAAGGGCGGACAAGACTGTGTCTGACAGCGAAAAAGGGAATTCCCAATCCTCGCAACTCTGCATCCAACGCCTTGGACATATCTGACATTGCGTTGTATACTTTTCTATCATAAATTTGGATTTCGGCCGCATCTTCCTCTGGAGTCTGATGGTCTGATTAGCCTTTGGGTATTTTTCAATCAAGACTGTGTATTTTTGAATAGCGGGTGGTCAAATGATAGTTGCTCCGTACATACCGTCATCTCCGGCCCTGTTGTAATTGCACCGCCGACTGATTTCCTAAAACCATCACATTACCGCATCAGTATGTACATTCAACCTCCCATGTAATGTCACATACAAGACTGCATCAAGCTTCTGCTTTTTCTCTGCCCGATTTCGCTGCTTTGCGAGCAATGCCTCTCGCGCCTCCCACCACTTCTTTTCATGGTCCTGTTGGCTCCTAATCAACCGCCGAATCTTGGACTGAAGAGCTTCGCTCTGAGCGACGGTTTTCATAACATATTTCAGCGCTGCCGGCCATGTTGTGATTGTCGCAGGATCCGGCAACGAATCCACACGGTCCTGACTGCTTGGAGGTTGTATGGGCGACTGGTGGTATCGTCGGGCAGGGTGTGAGGATGAGATATCCGCCCCGTTAAATGTACCTAGAGGTGAAAAGTGCAAAGGATCATAGTCATCATCAGCTTGACCTTTGGAATGCAGTTGATCCGAAGCTTCATGGCTTCGATTGATGCTGGCTGGGGGCTGGCTTGATTCCGGCGGAATAAAGGAGGAGAGCGTTTCCAGCACGCTTGCGAGGTCTTGATTCATCTTCACACCCAAGACCGGTTCCAGTCTAATCGACAAAGTAATATCATCCCTCCAAGAGTTTCGACAGCGACCTTTTTGAAGACCGGATTTGGCAGAAGCTGGGCTTACATAAGATACAATGTCTTGGCACTATGCCCGAAAAAAGTTCGTTCGTCCCAACTCCCAGCAAGGATGAATTGTCGGCCCATTTGAATACCCTCTGCAAGCAATTGATATACTTGCAAGCAATATCACCGGAGCCTCCCCCGTGATTGCTATTGATTCCCTAGAAGATGTCCCGTTCAGCGGCGGACGCAACTCGATTCACAGCAACCGCACCCCACGCGTATTCCAAGTCGGGGTCTACCACGGCATCGAGATGGTCAGGCGCAAAAGTTGGAAGCACTCAGGGTGGTAGCTCACAGCCTGGGTCTGGGGGAGTGCCCGGAGAGACACCAAAGCAGAAAGTTGAACGGCTCCGCGCCGAGGCTCGCGCAGCACGAATTGCAAAATCATCGTCACCGTTAGATCGGTTTATCGGGAAGGGAAGAGTGTGGGCGGATAGGCTGCATAGAATAACGGTTTTCTCTATCATTGCAGCTTCCGGTATGGCCCAAGACTCTTCCATCTATGATCGCGTTTTGCTTTGCTGTTGACCTGGTAAGATGTACTGATAAACGGGGATTGATTCTTTTAGGCATTGCTGGTATTCTCACCATATATTCAGCGACGTCATTAATATCACACAATCGACGACAAAAGGCCCTGTGGATTGATATAGAATTGCAAAAGTTGCTGGATGCTAAAAAGGCATATGTTGCTGGAAATGCTACTCTTGAGCAAATCCAGTTGCTAGAAAAGGAAAAGGCGGCCGATGAAGAAAAGAGGAGAAGAGATGAATTGAAAAGGGACACAATGTTCTACAAAGCCAAAGACTGGCTATTTGGTGGATTGAAACGCGACGATGCCGGGGAGAGTGTCTTAAGTAGGCAGCTAGAGACGGAGGCCGAACAGTCAAAAGTGTTGCAGGCGATTAACGCGCAGGCGGCAGAAGCTGGGACCAACACCAGCTCGACTTCACAGGAAGGCCCAAGGGGATAGAGGAATGGGACACGGCCGACACGGGGCGAAGCTAGATCGAAGAAAGGCTGGACTGGCTGGCTAACAGGAAGATGAATATAAAACGAACACTTTTGTCCGTGCTTCTGTTGCATTTATAACGAAAGTGCCCCGTTGCTACGACCGACGCTTCTGCTATCCTAGTCCTTTCGTGGGTCTTTCATCCTGACCTTTCCCGTCTATCGCTCAATCGAGGATGGTTCACATACGAGCCTCCAACATGGACTTGTACAATATTGCCTTTTTATTCGACCGTTTTGCTACTCTTTTCCCCTTTGGAAATCGTGGTAAGGTTTCCGCAATGAAACGGAGACCAATAATTATTTCGTCGATGTCTTTTCTTGTACATACATCCGCTTCTGCTGCACAGCGTTGGTTTTTTTTCTGCTCGAGTCACGATGCTTGGACGAATTTTGTTTTCAGACTCGCAACTCATCCCTGAAAGTCTCTTGTCTCGCATAGCAAACTTGGGAGTTTTTTTGGTTGGTCTTCTGCGGAATGATGAGAGAAATTCAGATGCAGATTTAGGTGTATTGATCTAAAACCATAGCAGCCATCGCGCGTTTGGATGGCTAGATGAATCTCAGCTTCGAATGCTCTGTAGATTTTCCAAACTGTCCCTCATTTTGGAGCTGTCTTTCCGCAAAGGCTTTTCTGCGTCCCAAATCCGTTCAATATTGGCTCCCGAGGTCTTGAATCCTGAGTGAATACCATCGCAGCATGGCTCGTGGTATCAACTAGACAGTCAACAACGATGGCCCCTGTGAATGAAGAGTCCCTTGCAGGGTATGCAAGACGGAATACTCCGGGCATGAATAATAAATGCAAAACAACGCGACGTCATCCTTGCTCCAGGCGACATCTCTGAGCAGAATGATCAGTCAACCATGATCAAGAGAGACCGCCATCATCGCACCCTCCAGGGATTGAGTACTTGATGGCCTCACGGGGCTGATCCTGGGCAGGTCATGCATATTTGGATTGTCAAGGCAATTCAGTATTCGCTTACGACATCAAAGACCATCCAGTGAGGTTCGACTGATGCACGGGCTTGCTGCAGACAGCCAAACTCAAGCTGGAGTCATCAGGATTGGAGTCGGGTGGACCGGATCCCCGGGACGTTCCCAGGGAATTGAGACACCGTCATCTATCCCGGCCGTGCTTCTTCTTCAGGTTTGATTACCGTGCGTCCTCTCAAGTGAGTCTGAAACACAATATCAAATTCCAAATGAGCAGCCCCAGGAAAGCAGCTTGGACGAAAAGCACACTGTTCTAGCAATCAATTTGCTTTTACTCCGGGCAATGCATACATCTGGCTCATTTTTGAGGCATGGAACCAGCTTATTTCCTCTGCGATCAGACCTGCCATCCTCTTATGACAGGGGGATTCACAAAAATGGCTGGCCGCTAAAATATGCAGCTAGTCTCGGAGCGCTTCGGGACAGCCATTTGAAGCCCCGCTCAGACTGAGGTCGCATCTCGAACAATCAAAAGCAGAGCGGTGGTTCCTCCGCGCTGGGAGCGACGAAGGGGCTTGATCCTCTCAGGACTCAGGAGGCCATAACTATCGGAGTGTTTGGAGCCTCGCGTTGGGCCATCCCGAGCGGGCCAGCGGATTGCCCGGCGGAGTGTTTCGTGGAACCGGCTGCAAGACCCAGAGAGCCGGGATGGGCCATGGTTTCCCGGCGCCGTGGGAGCTTGCAGATGTTTAGCGTGTTCGTCTCGCAGCGAAGGTGGTCTGTCCCTGGCCCGTTGGCTGGAAAGGAAAAAAAAAAGAAAAAGGGCCAAATGGGGGGATGCATGGAGTTCGAACCGATCAGGGCTTGTGCCGTGATCAACGCATCATCTCGCTGAACCTTAGATCTCTTCTCCTCAGTAGCTCGTAGGTTCATCAGGCCTTTAGCTAGTTAATCAGCGCCAGCGGCCATATTCTCTCTCCCTCTCTCTTCCCTACAACCTCCTCGCATTCGAGTTTTCCAGCAGAATTTTCAGGCCCTGGAACTGCTAATTGTTTCCCCGAAGCAGCAAAGACTCGACAGTGGTATGGGGTAAAAACAAGTTGTTTCCATCCGCACCGACGCTCTTCGCAACCCGTCCAACATCGCGACCACTTTCTTGGATCTCAAGTCTGCGTTGCGAGTGCCACAGCAGCGAGAAACGACTGGGCCAACCACCAATCCCACGAAGCATCCCATGCTCGCAGATGGCGACAGGATCCAACTACTCGATGATAGAGCCAGATAGCTCTGCCTCGGGCGACAACGACACCGATTACGCCTCTATTGCCTCCACAATCCCCAACTACGTCTACCAGAACGGCCGGCGATACCACTCCCACCAGCACTCAGACCAATACGTTTGTCTCCCCATCGCCGCGCGACCCCTCTTTGTGCCCGTTGGAGTCCAATGCTTTGGTGTGACTAACCAGCAGCTTCTTTGCCGTGTGCCTCTGTAGCTCCTCCCCAACGACGAGCGAGAACAGGACCGCCTCGACTTTATCCATCATGTATTCCGGTTGACGCTGGATGGCGAATTGTGCTTCTCGAAACTGGACAATCCGCAGCGTATTCTAGATATTGGCACTGGAACTGGCATTGTAAGTATAGATGCACCGTCCACCTTTGAAGTCCATTGCATCTCGGAAATATTCAGCCACTCAGGGCCCCTTTGCTTTGTTACATCTCACGGGGAAGCTGGTCAATACAGTAGCTAACAGTCGTTCTATGATAGTGGGCCGTAGACAGCAAGTTCTTCATTACTCCGTGCTGGGGGGGCTGCGATTGACCGGATAATATAGTTGCGGAGATCTACCCGTCAGCAGAAGTCATTGGAACTGATCTCTCTCCAATACAAACGAGATGGTAAGCAATTGTCTAATCAGTCTGGTCTGTCATGGGCGTCTAACAGCAGAATTAGGGCCCCACCAAATGTCCAGTTTCTTGTCGACGATGCCCTCCAGGACTGGACATTTCCCGAAGCATCATTTGATTTCATCCATGTTCGTACGTTAGCCGGAAGTATCCCGGATTGGGTGGCTCTCATGCAAAAGTGTTACAAGTGAGGGAGCTCCATGCATCCGCCCAGACGTCTCCCTTGATGCTGACGTCCCAGAAAGATGCCTAAAACCAGGTGGCCAGATTGAAATATCAGAAGTCCGGGTTCACTTCTGCTGTGACGACGATTCATATCCACAGGATTGCAGTGCACGCCGCTGGATGGTATGCTCACGTCACATCATATCTGGACTTTCTTTTCATTCCTAATATGTCCCAAAAGACAGAGTTCCTCAGAGCAACTTCGCAAGCGGGGATGGATTTCGACCCCTTCCCTCGATGCGCGCCGCGCCTGCGGCAGGTTGGTTTTCAGAGCATCGAGCAGACCGAGAAAGTTGTCCCCATTGGGACATGGCCCAAGGACAAGAAGCTAAAGGCCCGGGGGCGCTATTTCATGGCGCAGCTCCTCGGTAACGCCCTCGAAACATATAGTCTTTCACTCTTTACTCGAGTGGCCGGTTGGACCCCGGACGAAGTCTACGCCCTGTTAGACGACGTGGCCGAGGAGGTCGGTAGGAACAAGATGCATTTGTATACTCACTTGTGAGCATTCCCACTCTTCCTCTGGAAGTCTAATACTCATACTCAGGCAAATGCTGACGCCAACCATAGCTCCTTTGTCGCTGCCCGCAGGCCGCCAAAGTAAACGATTTGTACTATTCGACATTGTTCTATACTTTGCATTTGTTCTGATGCGAATTCGTGCTTTCAAATTGCCGAGCGTGGAGGATGTGTCCAGCCATTACGACTATGCGCTTTGAACGACTTGAACGAATTCATGGCTTTCTCTCTTACTATATTTCGCGTTTCTATTCTTTTACTTTTGGGGAAATGTCTCCGTTTTTATTTTATTTTACCGACTTTCTCTGAAAAGCGACCTTGTATACCCTACTCACTTCGTTCGGGCCGGCTTTCTGATTATGCACAAACCGTTGTCTTACTCTTATCGGGTGTCTTTCTTACGCCCTGCATTTCTGTATATTGGATATCAAGCAGAAGTGGGATGCTTTCTTTTCTGGCTACATTGGGCATTCGATGGCGTCCTGGTTAAGGACACCTTGCTTCACGATTCTTTTACTTTCTTTACCAACAATCTCTTTAGTCGATAGTGCATGCTTGTTAGAGAGCGGGGTGAAATTGAGACGCGAGTCTTTGTTCTGCTAGTCAACTTTATGCATCCCATGCCGCCGTGCCATCGGCCAAATCGTCAGATCCTGCGTGTTGAGGAGCCAGATCCGGCTCATTCGTTAGCTAGTAACCTGCTCCGGTTGCTAATTTTGTGCTTTTGTCAGTGAGCTCAATGCATGAGCTTGCAAGAGTTGGAGGAGTTGCAAATTGCGATGTGTTGGCGTGAGAGTTGTGCTATAACTGAGAAAAAACTACAAGTCCCTCTTGCAAATCTTGTAGGTTTATAATATAAAGAATGTAGATGAAACAATTAGTAGTAGATACATTGCGATCGCATTCATAGTTGGTTGCTGTCAGCCGGTGCAATTGCGGCGGGCATGTCGGTGAGCGATTTCCCACTGCGCTTTTGACCACCAACATCAAGACCATCGACATCTTCACTCCTCAATCCCAGAATATCGGTGCAGACAGGCCCTTTTCCGCCGTGAAAGGCATCTAATTCAAACACATGCATTGGAGCAACATAATGATACTTTCGCCCAACTCCGAACCCTCACGTTTCCCCTCTCGCACCTACACCGCACAACCGAACAGCCAAGCGGAGAACCGCTGGGGATGGCGATTCTCCCGAGGCCTGCAGGGTCAGAAGAGGAGGCGATCATAAACAAGCCAGCGAGCTAAACCGAACTGATTGAGTTCCAGGGTTTCCACTCCCTGTTTCGCCGCTTCTTCGAGCAAGCCACACACACTCCATGTCTTGGGTGGAGAGCGAACGAACCCCTCCAGGTACATCACGCAGACGCACAATCCGCTGTTTCTTCAAGGCCCTTTACGTATGTGCCCATGTACTGTTGACATGGCGGCCTGTCAACCAGCCCAGCCAGGCCGGCGAAGGACAATCGCCATGTGACACCGATGCTTTATCCCGCTATCATGATGACTTTGCATCACAGTCCTCGGTGGCGGAGAGACTTGAGAGCCTACAACTATAATAAGCTTGGATCCCAACAATGAATTTGGGAAAGCTGAAACCTATACTGTCTTGATAGTTCCTGGGTTGACTCCTAGATTCTTTATCCAAATGCAGTATATATCTCGCCTCCCGACAAAGGATTGAAGAATCTTGATGACCATAGAGTTTACTTGGCAGAGGTTCAATACTCGCTCACCTTTCTCGTCATTCCCGCGAATCTCGAGTTCTCCCTGATCGGTTTGATTCCCCCTTTAATCGGTGCCCGTCGGGTGTGACCTTGTAGTGTCCGCCTTCCAGCACTGTGGTACAGGTCTGGCCTTGTAGGTCCGAATACGTGCGCCTGGTAGCTACTCAGCTGTATGTAAGTTAGCCGAAGTACTACCCTGGGAGACTCCGTTAACATATATCCTCAGGTATATCGTCTTGATTGACAATCGGCTTCCAGCCGAAGCTAACATCGAAGCGCAGCTAGATTTAAGGAAGTGTGCGCACAAAATGCTCTCCGCATTAAAAGACGCTCCTCCTGGTCATCTCGCCCTTGGGGCCGTTGCTTGCTTCATCCTCTACCAGGTATATATATATCTAACAGTGGGAGCCTCACGTCGAAAGTTTGCCGCAGACCATGGCTGCCAGCCGGCTCCAGCATATCCCCATAGGGAACCGATTTTTGGAATAGATTTGGCTTTGAAATTGGCGCGTTATGGCAAGTCCAAAACATTCCTCGAGCAGGCTCGAAATCGATTCCTCGCCTACGGAAACACCTACTCTTTGAAAGTCATGGGCAAGAATGGTTAGTACGCTCGTAGCCCTCAAGAGCTATGTTTGAGGATTTATCGCTCATGATTGGACCTCTCAGCCATCACCACATGCGAACCGGAGAATATCAAAGCTACCCTGGCCACCAAATTCCAAGATTTCAATCTTTCCAATGTCAGGAAAGCTGCCTTTCAGCCATTGTTTGGCAAGGGAGTGTTTACCAATGACGGCCCTGAGTGGGAACATTCCCGGACAATGCTACGACCCAATTTCGTACGGTCCCAGGTCGCGGATCTGGATATGATTGAGAAGCATGTCCAAAACCTGATCAAGGAGGTGCCAACGGATGGGTCCACGATCGATCTTCAAGACCTTTTCTTCGATCTCACTCTTGATACAGCCACAGAATTTCTTTTTGGCGAGTCAGCACATTCTCTTGGAAGCAAATCTACCGAAGAGAATGAACGGTTCAGTGATCTCTTCACTTATTGTACAACTATGATCGGTGATTGGTCACGCATCGGGATTTTTTTCGGGATCCCAGACCAGCGTTACCACCGTTTTGCTGCTGGAATCCATAAATTTGCCGACCGTTACGTGGAAAAGGCTCTTGCGCATCACCGTGCCCAGAAATCAGGAATGATCACCTGTGAGAATAGCCCAAATCGGTATATCTTCTTGGATGAGTTGGTCAAAAAAACCAACGACCCTATTGAGCTCCGCTCTGAAGCTCTTAATATTCTGCTCGCAGGCCGTGACACCACCGCAAGTCTCCTAGCTTGTCTTTGGAATGTGCTCTCAAAACGGCCCGATGTGTGGTCCAAGCTCCGCGCGGAGGTTGATAGTTTGGGTGGAAAAAAGCCGTCGTTTGAGGAATTAAAGGATATGAAATATCTCCGCTATTGCATAAATGAAGGTTGGTTGTACAGTTCTCACATTGATTGAGCTATCTGCCTATATTGTGACGGGGGTATTTGCTTAAAAAATGCTTACTAACTGCGTTCGTCACTCAGCCTTACGGCTATATCCAGTGGTTCCTAGCAATGGTCGGGTTGCTATACGAGATACTTTCCTCCCCGTGGGGGGCGGCAAAGATCGCAAATCCCCAATCTTCCTGAAGAAAGGCACGCTCGTATCATATAGTGTTTTTTCCATGCACCGACGAGAGGATATATATGGACCTGATGCTGCAGAATATAAGCCAGAGAGATGGGAGAAATTGCGACCGGGATGGGAGTTTCTTCCATTCAATGGCGGGCCAAGAATCTGTCTTGGACGTGAGTTCTTTTCCGGCAGCCAAGTTGGCTAATTGTTCTATCTTTATGCCTAGCCTATGACTGACCATCTCGGCAGAACAACTCGCCCTTACTGAAGCGTCGTACACTACCGTCCGGTTGATGCAGCACTTCCGTGATGTCGAATCGCGCGACTCTCATCCATGGACAGAGCTACTTACAGTCACATGTGCGAGCAATTATGGTGCGAAGGTAGCCTTGAAACCGTGATCATAACACGATCTGACAAGCGTTTATTCTTGTTTTCATTATTCTTTTTACCGTCATGATCACTTTATATACTCCCTTGCTGCTATACTCTAGGTTCAAATGCGATTTTATCCTTTCTTTTCGAACATATTTACTCGTTTCACGGATGTTCCAGCACCTCCGACATAAATTGATCATCTACGTAAATAATGTCAATTAGCACACTTTGCGAGACCGCCACCTTCGCCACTTATCAGCACCGTACATCTCGGCGGTATCCCGAATTTACATTCCTTTTCTTGCGTACCATGCGACGTTACTCAAGCCGAATCAACGGCTCCCGGCTGAGTCGCGAATCTATTTTATTAGCTAGTTTGCGTGTTAGTATGCCATATTTACTACTATTATCGAGGTTGCTTTAGCTTGGCTCGGATGTCCAATGCTTTTTCTCCCTCTTCTAAGGCATTGATATCCCTCCCGTTCATGCCAGTTGAAGTCTGATCCTGTGTACATACATTAGCGTATACGTGACTTTGCAGTTCATGCATGCTCTCAGCAATGCCCGTGGGTTATACTTCTTGAGCTGTGGTTACCGAAACTCATCAAGGAAAACACCACACAAGGGGGCTGCCCTCCAGCCTGCAAATTGCAATTACGATTTGACATAAACAATTCCACCGAACTGCTGCGTGTTTTAGATGTTGGACCATACAATAAGAAGAACAAGAAAAAAGATGACTAGTTACCTGACCCCATGCTGTGATACGACTGGAACTCAAACCAAACGCATCAAAACCTCCTTGGTGGTCCTACCGTCACAAGGACATCAAATCCGGTTTCTTGCTTCCTCTCACCTGACGATTGTATTGCTTGTCGGACAGCAAGTGATATCTGCAAAGTAAGCCCGACGGAAGTCTATATGCAGGAACGGGAAAGCCGCACAGAGGGTTGCATATGGGTACGTGCGAATTGGATATTGCGTGTTCAACTGCGATCACTCTCCATGAGTGGACGATATCCTTTTGAGGATAGTAAGGAGCAAAGATAGGTCAAAAGGAAGAAAAGCCCAAGGACTGCAAGATCTTCTAATCTAAACCCATGAACGCCCCGTGTGTCTGTTATTGAGAAATGAACCGTCACGGTGCAGCCAAGGCTGCATGAATGCAAGCACAACGATAGGAAACAAGCCAAAGAGTTTTGTGCACCTTTTCTTTTTTTCTTTACGGCAAAGGTCAAGAAAAGCGACAAGAAAAAGGGAGAACAGCCCAAGTACATTATTATTACTATGTAGTAGTATATATCTCGCGCCAAGCAATGCATACAAATTTGCGTCAATGAGGCGAAGGAGGAAGAAGGCAAAGAACCAAACACGCCTAATGGGAAACAAGATCCCTTCTCCCAACTCCAAAAAAATGTTTCAGTTGTGAACAATGCAACCTGGTTTAGACCAGACACTTTCACCAGATAAATCACCTCACTCTGGAGGCTTCGAGTTCCAAGACAGCACGGAAAGTCGAGTCAAAAGTAACCGGTACACCAATCACCGATACGCCACAGTTGCCTCAATATATGCACGAACTATGAAGAAAACCTCAAGTCGTAAACCAGGCCGTATGATTATAACATAAGAGTGATGACAGAGTGAAAATATGGCAGCGCCCCGATGCACTGTTCACTCGTTGCCGGGAGCCGCGACTGCGACAGCAACGGCTGCACCGAAAATTCCGCTTTCAGGAGCTGAATCGAGTGTAATAGACGGCAGTTGGTCGACCGAAGATGTCGGCTCCTTCATCACGACTACATCGTCTGTTGGAGAAATAGATTGGGGTGGATCGGGTTCTAGGGTCAATTGATTCAGGTAATTCTGACATCGAGTTCGAAAATTGGGGTATTTGTTAATGACGCTTCCATCACAGGCGATATTGACCTGCAATCGAACAGGGTCCTTCGGATACTCTTTCCTGTGAGGCTTGACATTGCTATCGTCATTCATTGATTCCGGCGTTGCAGGAAGGATTGGCGTTTCGCTTTCATTTCGCAAGCACCAAAGCCCGTGGATCGCTACTGCTAGGTAAGCTGTAGCTCGCTGTGAGACGCAATGGCTGATAGTTTTCAGAAACGCAATGTCCGCTGGCGTTGGAGGGATGCGAAATTGGTGATGTTCCTGAATTAAATCAAGTGATTGCTTGAAAGAAGGCGAGGTATCCTCCTCGATACATGCTATGTCCGCGGTGTCCAGTGAATATCGTGCTTGCATTGAAGCTGGTAGGTGGCCGCCAAACAAGCCTGCCGTCTGGACGGCCTCCACAGCAATGAGCCTGACGATTTCGCCCAAATACCGGCCGGTGCACATATACTCAAGAGGCTGGTAGTCTGGTTTGATATGATTGCGATTCAAATCATCGTCCCAACGCGTCATCTGTAACACCCCACCACCGAACATGCTGATCTCGGTATTGGTTATGACATGGTCAGCTTGTGCGAACCACTCTGGTGATCGTTTCCCATACTTTTCTATTCCAATCGCGTGCACGGGAAAGTGAACAGACATATTCGTTCCCGTTCCTAAGATTAGGGACAATCGAGTCGTCGGATCGACATAAGCACGCGAAAGCAGGGTAGCAGAACCATCATTAACAATGGCTTCCAGCGTGACGTTGAGGTTGCGTTTCTGGCACGCCTCCATAATGAGTTCTCTCAAGTCATCACCAACGGTGCCATCGGAGCAGCGAAAACCCTTGCCCATGGCAATCACATTCCCACTGCGAATAGACGTTTGTTCAATGGGAAAGGACCAGGATAATCCCATCGGCAACGGGGATGAGTCTTTGCCGTGGTCCTCCGTGCCATTCTGGAGCATCTCTTCTATCTTCCCTGCCATCCAATCAAAAAAGGCCTTTCCCATTAAAGCCTTTACATCCTCGTTGATATGCGATGACGCTATCCTCAAGATTTTCATTTCTCCATTTTTCCCGAGCAATTCCACCAGAGCGACACGGAGCGTTGAACCACCAACATCCAAGGCGAGATAGGTGCCTTTCTCGTTTCCGGACGGCAGGGAATGGCTAAATGACGGGAGCATGTTGATGTGGCTCGACTGGGCAGAGGAACGTAGTTGTGACCGGATTTCTTTCGACATTGATGCAAGGCGCCCTGTTGACAAGTGACCGATAAAAAGTTGCTCGACTTCTTGAGCAAAGTCCTTCAATGATCGTCGACGTTTATTGAATCTCCGTCGTTTCCCTGTGGCCTCTCCGCGGAACGAGCCATTTAAAAGCTTATGAATTATTTGAACAAGATGGCTGAAAAACTTTTGCAGCTGGTGGGCTGCTTTGACAAGTGAGTCCCCCATAACGACTGTAGCTAGGTTTCGATTCAGGATTTGGCGAATACGTGTAAACAGCGAAACATCCGAGTCAACAATGTCCTTGCGAGGGAACGAGTGACTCGAGTCGCCCAAAGCGAAATGCAGAGCGAGAAAGAGAGTTGTGTCAAGAGCAGTAAACTTGGACCTAAGCCTGTTCAACTGCACGAAGACAACAGCAAAAGAGGCGTTTGGGCTCGATTTAAAAAAAAAGAAGAAGGTATTGTTTGGTGTACGTGCAAAGACGAGGCAGGAGAACTTCGGTCAGCAGGAGTTCCGCGGCGAGGTGAAGTCGAACCGGGTGTTGCGGTATGCAAACAATGGATGGCCAGCGTTACTGTATGATGCTGATTATCCAAGGAGGGGGGAAGAGAACAGCTGGGTGTAAAGAGTCAGGAGCAGCCTTCCACAAGCTCGATGTCGGGATATGTATTAGTACACCATCAGGGTAGCATTCACGTGCATTCGTCGAGGTGTCCTATACAAACAAAATAGAACCAAGAAAGCTGCCGAATTTGCTTCGGATTTTGGGCAACCAATTTTCAGTGGTTTGTAAGGTAACCAGCCAGGGCAGAATTCGGGGATGACGCTGGTACCTTCACCGCACGAATGGAAAAGGAGACTCGGGAATGGTGATATCGGACAGGGTTGCAAGGAAGATGGATCCTATCCTCCAAGATCGAGGGCGGAAAACGGAGTGATCGAATTAACGAGCGAAATGTCGACTGCGTTGCACCCCAAGCCTTGCTTTTTTCAGGTGTTGGCAATGTTCCCCCCAAGGCACGGAATTCCCCTCGGTGAGCTTTTCCTTTCACAACGTAGTAACTCCCTAGCAGCCACTTGGACCGAAGTGAATTGGAAAGTTTCTGGGCGTTTCTTGCTGGATCTCACCGGGCGTCCATGTGTCTGGAAATCATATATTTCTGGAGCAAGTGAAGAAACCCGTTGAATATGAGGTAGCTGTAACTTTTCAACAAATAAGGAGAGTTTCCGTTTGACGGCGCTGCGAACTTTTTTAACGCGGACCTATTCCAGCATATCGCTGCCCGGGGCAAGACTGTCGATGCAAGAAGAGAGCTCAGCTTGGGAGAGCAAACACAGACGAATTGAAAAAGGAAAGGCGCGCCCAATGCCCCAGCCAAACAAACTGGCAGGGTCACACTGGCAGAAATCAGACAGCAGAGGAGCTTGCTGCTGCCCACAAACGGTCCCGACAAACCCTTGGTTAGTCAAAGTGCCGTTGGCGAAGGTAGCAGCGAGAGAGGACTCGAGGATTCAACTCACCGCGCTGACGGTGACTTGGGCGTGGGGGAGCTAAGCGCGGAGCAGCAGCCATCGTCATTCGCCTTCTTCACCACGTTGGAGTGCTCGCGTCGAGGCAAGGTGACATTGGAGGTGGAAACGGCGAGGCAGCGATGATGTTGGAATGATGCCGTCCGAGGTGCAGTGAAGGCGGAGTATTGCCCGTACACAGCAAAGGGCCCGAATTGGCCTGCGTCAGGGTAATCTTACGCGCGGGTACATACATACATACCAAACAGCCAGCGCAGCTGATCGGTTGGTTACAGTACAGCATACATCTCTCAAAGGGGAGCGACGCGGCAACTTTCACACGTCCTGTTCACTCCCGCGGAAGCTATATTTGGCTTCGGAGGTTATCCAGCACAGATCTTGTTGAGTTATTCTTATCCTGCGGGGGTGACTACACCTAACTTTCAGAGGAGCCCGGATGAGACCAGGTTGTCGCATTCATAGGGCTATGGACAGAGCTGTATTCTATACTGTAAATCTGTAAACCGGTATTACCAGCCCGTAATCAACGTATGGCAGGCGCGTTTCGGGGCGTAACGTTTCAATTCGGGGTACCATTCTTGAGACCGTTTGTATTTTACGCAAAGCAGGCGAGACAGCTCCCTCAAGCTAGTAGAGTGCTTGATGCACAGTGTCCCTCGCAGCTGATGGCAAGCTTCAATAACGATTATTGCTGACTCGACCCCAAAGGCACGAGGTCTGTATGTACTGTCCAAACCTCCATCTTGTCCCCAGGCCTCAAGCTCCAAACAAGCTCTGCCGCGAATGTAACGTCAGGCGACACCAGCCAGTGTAACCCATGCATGCGACAATCGGAACTTGTTTGAAGCCAAGCGATGTGGGACGTTGTGTCCCAGCTCTCCGGTCGACTACTGGCCTCAAAGCGAGACGCAACTCTTTTCCTCACGCTGAATCAACGATCATCCAGGCTTTGGCGGGGAGGTATCCCTTGGAACTCGACATTTTGGTTTCGAGGAGAGCTTTTTCCCCTTGCTGTCGAGAACCGTTCGCTCGGGAACTGGCACGTGCTGAGCTCCACAGACGATCTTATCTTATCTCAAACGATCTCTCGGCATGCCGCCCGGTATGTTCTCGAGCCGCCGGTCGTTTCCGTAGAGCCCGAAATTTATATCCTGGGAGCCGAGGGGGTAGCTACAGCACAGGGCTCACAAATATGGCAATTGGTACGTTCACACTTCGAGTTAACTACACCTGCAGCACTCAAAGCAACAACTAGGACAGGTACGGCTAACTGACCTCCCTGCTCTGACTCTCACTACATTAGATCCATGATCCTCTCCAGCTGTGTATCGCCTGGTGGCCAATATGCAGCAGGTATTCATTTTTCATTTTCATCAGCCTTATGGATTCAAGCCATCCAAAAAGGCGCCCTCACTCTGGAACAGGGGTGAGGGGTCCTAGGGTCAAGATAAGCTCAGCCAAGCATTGCGTTTTACGATGTTCAGCCTTGTCAGTTGCAGGGTCTTGGAGCTTTCTGCCCCGGGGTGCGCTTGAGTTGATGCCCATTTGGTAGTCATTGGAGAACGACGTTCCCGGAACTCAAAAGAGGCACGGTTAATGGTGGTATGGTTGCAAAAATCACACATGGTTAGTTCTTCTGGACAACGCATAGTATTGTCATACAGGGTCTTCAGCAAATATAACAGTGTGTTTTCTCTGGATGGAATGAAGAAGCCAGGTGGTGATGTTGTACCTTCTGGGCGCTTACTTATTGAGACAATCTTGATCTGGAAGATTTTGATAATCTGCACCATCCAAACACTTTGGGTTAATCACTCATTAAACAAAGGGTCGTCTAGAATTTGTCTTGCTGACACTCTAGTAGCTGGCTCAAACTGCAATAATTTCCATTTGTTTGCCCCAACCTCTCTATGTCCTCTTGTGAGATCACAACTCTCCAAGCCTTCAAAGTACACTCTCGCATTTGGCCAGCAAGAATTGTAGGCGTTATCAAGGTGCCGAAAGGTGGCTAATCTGTGAATAGTTCAAAGAGCTGGAACTTTTGATGCCCGGACAGGTAGAGGTATGTATAGTGTCTGAGGAACTGCAGTGGGTAAAAATGATCCCCTAAAGCTGATTATCCTGATCGACTGGGCCGAATTCCAAGAATGCGTCCAATACGGTGTAGGCCTAACAACATATTCTGGTAAAGCCAGGCTCCAGGTCTTTCCCGTCGCGCCTTTGGACACAGCCTATTACTGGTTTTCTCATCATCTCAGCAACCCGCTCTTCAGTCACATTGACCATGTACTCAGGTATTCTCCCAAAGCGACTGAGTGGTAGCCGCCTTGTCGGTAACGATGAAGTCGCTCCGCGTCAATTGTAGAAAATAAAGAGGCCAATCCGTCTGACTCTTGTCTGGATGGGTAGACATAGACTTTGGAAGCAATTTACAGAAGCCACGGGATGCCGCTCAAGGGGATGGTCTATCTCGATAGTATCCAGGATTATGCAACCCAAAGGTGTCTGTGCCCAGAAACGCCCAACATCACTGTATAAGCGGGGACGAATTGTTAAGCTATATTGCAAGAGACTATAACTAGTATTAATGCAAAAGTAGCTTGACGGTTCAATTGTAGTGATTAGTTAGCATTCATTTTAAAATAGTGGCGTCAGCACTGTACAAACATCAGTCAATTACACCGATTGTGTAAATTTCTGGATATCCTCCCACATGACCTCACCCCTTGCTGCATATTGAATCAAGATCTACCTCAAAACATTGTATGTAGGCACTGTTCAGCTACAGGACCACATCCTCTGTCTCACAATCAATGATTTAAGTGGGCCCACACATGATGAGAAGCTAAGGTCTGATGTACTTCAGACGAAGCCAATTTTATAAATCTCCGCATTCGACTTGGTCGAGAATGTGCGGAGAACCCGAGGAGCTGCTTTCGCTCGATACCTTGAGTGGAGAGTTAACTCACCACTCCGCAGGTGGGAGTTACCAATGACGATTGTTGAACCTTCGAGCCAAGTGGCTTTGACCGGCTGAGTGCTGATCGATCTTCGAAAACAAGCTTTGCGGTGTTGTCATCATCCGCTGAGACCATCGGTGTTGTCCGAAGGCCGCGGGAAGCCAAATCACACGGCGTGAGTTGCCAATTAAGATAATATCATAGAGATTCGAGTGCATGATCGTTAAAATATACATACGCATAGACATGCATAAAAGTACAATACCAAAAGTAATGCATTCGTGGACATCGTTAGGGACGGGGAGGAAAAAAAGGGAGGAGTTTTCCTCCCAGTGCGTTTAAGCCGAGAATCGATCCAGGGTTATCATAAATTTCCAAAATGCCAGTATTGCATGCCCATGCAAACATTTCCTCCGCCATTGTGCTTATGCTATAATATGATAAGAATGACCAGAGAGAAGGGCTGATGATAAGGGGGAAGCTTTGTGGGTTTCCGAAACGCCTTCCAAGGGGTACCATAGTATATGTTAAATCCAACAAGGCCAAGAAATTGATGCCAACTATAGAGAAAAAAAAAATTCGTATATCAGCTTCCCTCTCCAGCAAAGTACCTCTTACTCCGGTTCCGCGCGGCGATGGTTTTGGGATCGTCTGGCATATTCATATGGTGCACCACATGGGGACGGTAGACGGCATCCACAGGAGCTTGCCAGTCATCCAATCCCAGTGGGAAATATTCGTAGAGGAGATCGGTAGTATCGTTGGGATTCACGATATGCGGAGACATCATTGGTGTCAAGTGTTGTAGGGACTGTGAAAACGGGATATTCCCAGCCGCGGGATATGAGTGAGGCATCATTTGGTGGTTTGCAACCTGCGGTGACTGCTTTTGTGATATCGATGGGTTGTCCATGGACTGCGGAGCGGACGTTGTGATGAGGTTAAGCATGTGGACGGGAGTTGTTGGAGTGGCCGGGCTGGGTACGTCTTCCAGGAGCGACAGACCAATGGGTGCGGTGTTCGCGCTAGTACGTCTTCTTTTGCTTGGGCGAAGGGGTCTCGGGGCTTGATTTGGTGTATGTCGGTGCAGATG